TTTTTTTTTTTTTTTTTTAAATCCCGTTTTGCCACATTTTCGCGTCGACCCCCCAGGTCAAATCGACACGCAGAAGTCTTCAGAATCTCATCACCACACAACAAATTTGTCTGTTGAAAAGATGCCCTTCGAGAAAACAAAGTATAGAGAATTGCTTCTAACACGTACGGGTACAGACTTGGTCTTAACCGGTACACCACACCTCGTCATTTTAGCAGCAGCAATCATGGCTTCCTTCCGCGGTATCATGTCCAATTATGATCATCTCTCTTCAGGTAACGTCTGCTTGCATGAGCCGGTGCCCGGTCCTCTGTTTCGCCCCTTTGAGGCTATGTGCCGGGAGCATTCTTGCTCCTTCTCAAACGAGGTCGAATCAGGGGATGGTGGCTGAGATCATACGGCCCTGAACTTGATCTGGATCATACCAGCGAAAGGATCATGCTTGATCCCCCATTTTCACGTCGTCCGGCACCGCCCTAACGTGTGTAGATCCATAATGTCTCCCCCGGCCGCCGTCTCTCCCAACCAGAGGGTTGCTGAGCTCGCAACGCCAGCGTCCAAGCTCGCCGTCCAGAATGTCTCCAACAGCGCCCAGACGATTGAAGAAATGATGGGCCAGTGGGACAGCTTCAAGTTTGCTCCCATCCGTGAGAGTCAGGTCTCGCGCGCAATGACGCGCCGATACTTCAGGGACCTCGACACCTATGCCGAGTCCGACATCGTCATTATTGGTGCCGGGTCGTGCGGTCTCAGCGCCGCCTATGTCCTGGGCAAGCAGCGTCCCGACTTGAAGATTTGCATCATCGAGGCCTCCGTCTCCCCCGGCGGCGGCGCCTGGCTGGGTGGACAGCTCTTCTCCGCCATGGTCATGAGGAAGCCAGCCGATGCTTTCCTCCGCGAGATTGGCGTCCCCTATGAAGACGAGGGCAACTACGTGGTCGTCAAGCACGCTGCGCTCTTCACCTCCACAATCATGTCCAAGGTCCTGTCTCTGCCCAACGTCAAGATGTTCAACGCCACCTGCGTCGAGGACCTCATCACCCGTCCGTCCGATGAGGGCGTCAGAATTGCCGGTGTCGTCACCAACTGGACCTTGGTCTCCATGCACCATGACGACCAGTCTTGCATGGACCCCAACACCATCAACGCCCCTCTCATCATCTCCACTACCGGCCACGACGGTCCCATGGGTGCCTTTTGCGTCAAGCGTCTCGTCAGCATGCAGCGGATCGAGAAGCTCGGCGGCATGCGGGGTCTTGATATGAACTCGGCCGAGGACGCCATCGTCAAGAACACCCGTGAGATTGTCCCTGGTCTCATTGTTGGAGGCATGGAGCTTTCCGAAGTCGACGGTGCCAACCGCATGGGTAGGCTGATCCTCTCACTCGCCACTCGTGTCCATTCTGAATCTAACCTTTTGACTCGTAGGCCCTACATTTGGCGCCATGGCTCTCAGTGGTCTCAAGGCTGCCGAGGAGGCACTCAAGGTCTTCGATCTCCGCGCCAAACAGAATGCCATCTAGATGTTGATCAACCGGCAAAGGCAAACGCATACGATGTAACTTGGTCCTTTGTTGTCGTCAATTTTCGGTTGAAAATAATCGTCCTTCGTTTAAAGGCGCTAGTCTGATACGTGGTTGGCACCAACATTTGGATACGAATGTCCCCCTGTTTCAGGTTGTCGTTTGTCCTCACAAGTGACTTCAGCTGATAACGAGTCTGTTTCCTTGTAACCTGTAGTTAATCTGTCATGTCACTTTACAGAATGATCCATAGGCACAATTCGAAAAGTACTGATCATGCCTTTTGGTAGTGCTGGGATCTATTGACGTCTCCGAGTATGCGATGTATGACTCACAATATACCCTGCACGTTACACCGGGAATCGCCGGACAATACAGACGCGCATGACACGATATCCTCAGCAAGTTCATGCTTGAAAATGCAGCCAAGACTCTCCTGAAGCGTGTGGATGTGACTGCGCTTGGGAGAACGGCACCGGCGAGTCCTCGGCAAGGGATATAAGGATGCTTCGAGTAATTCGACGACACCGCAACCGTTGCAATATATCATCATCTGGAGATAGGGATATCCCTACACACATACATCCAACTCTCTGTTGCGATATTATTTGTGAGTTCTCGTCGGCCAACTTCGTATTGTGACCATGCCGTCTTGCATGTACTGGGAACCACCCGTGTTCTAGTTATACAAAACATCAGTCCGTGCTACGGTGCACCGAGAATTCACAGTAGGGCAGCAAATGCTTGCCGCCACGTATTTCCAGATTTTAGAACTGTCTTGGCGCCTCAAGATTGTAGGAGCCAAGATTCACCGACTTGGCCACCACTAGTGTTGTGTGAACACAGGGATCTCGGCGGGTTCCTCATTCAACCCAAGCTTGCGCACTGGACCACTACTAATAAGGCGGCTGCGACTTGCTTGGTGAAATGGACTGCTCAGCACCATGGGACAGGCGTGAACAACTTTGCCAAGGCTTCCAACGTGAACAAGGGAGAGAGAGAGGGGGGGGGGGGCATGAGACTGGGAAACACAAAATGCAAATTTTTACCCCCGATACACACGACGTCAGTGGTCAGTCTTGTCCAAGGCACGAATGGTGGTGGCCCATAACATTTGATGTCCTTGTGAATGAAGCTTTGTGGTAGCGTCAAAAGTTGGCCGATGTTCGGCATTTGCCTGTATTGTGTTTTCCGACCACGTCACTGCGAGCAACGAGGCCCGCCAACATCTACCAGTCTTTCCAGATCTGGTACGCTGTACGGAGTACTCCATGTTTAATCTAGCTGCTCAGAGGCCATCGTCTTCAGGGAGTGCCGGAACCGATGCCCTGCATAGGGTAAATGCAGGCTGTGCTTATGGAGGCCAATTCCCCATGGGAACTTGTGCCACTTCGTCCGCAAATCGACTGAATGATGCTAGCAACCTTTTCTCTTTTCTTTCCCCCGACCCCACTTCACTTGTCAAGCTGTTGTCAGTGCAACCCAAACTGATGCTGAACAAGGATGGGGGTGTCATGGCAGTCGACGGCATTGGTGCCAGCCCAGGAATCTGGAGCACGTTACGGAGAAAGACTTGTCACATGTTGATGCGCCTTCTTGTTTGGTTTTATCCGCTCATCGATAAGATCGGCCGAAGAATCGAAGCGCGATGGTAGTGTGGTGGTCCAGACTAGGTTCGGCCAACTTTTTTTTTTGCTTTTTGTTTCGTCTCAAACCGTTGTCTCGCAGGGCTGGCCAGTCAAGTCCGGGCGTAGCGCTTGCGGGAGATCTCCATGGACCATGGACCAGACGATCGAAACGCATGGTCAACTGAGATCTGATGTGTAGTGGAGTACTATTCCGTAGTTACAAAGTGCAGAGGCGAGTCCAGCGCAGGCGAGTATGGAGACAAGAATATTGGCCGATTTGTATTGATTGTTTTTCCGGCTCCGGCAATCCTCCCTGCCTGCGTGCTCCGTACTGGTGGTTGCCGTCTTCAACGGTTTCTCGTGCCGCTCTTTCCCGTCCAAGAGGCGCCGTTGGCTGTTGACGAATTATGGCTCGACATTACTCGCCGTTGGGGGCAATTATGGAGCCGCAGCGCTTAAAGCAGCTCTCAATCTGCCAAATCCTCAACTCCACCATGAACCGTCCACGAATCATTGCATCGGTCAACTCGTGACCCTCCAATTGTCCTTTTTGCCGAGAGAATGTTCGCCGACACATTTCCCACAGATCCAGTCGATAGGCCGACGTGACGCCTTTGACGCCAAACGCTTTGAACCGCACGCGCCGGACGACTCGGTCACGGCCATGGACGGTGACGGCTCTGGCTACAACACCCCTGGACACAGGCCCGGCCATGTTGTGAACCCTCACGCTCAGGCTCATGGATCTTGTGACCGTTCCGAAGGCGTCTCCGACCCGGGAAGTCAAACCCGTCCCCGCAAATTTGTGATACAAAGCACCTTTGGTGTGCCGAGGGAGAGGAGAAGTCGAAAGAGCCGACCGTGCGATGCATGTCGCCGCCGCAAGACTGCTTGTATCATTACTACCGAGCCTCCATGTAAGCCCGATAATCGTTCCCTCGCTCTGGCTGGCTGTCGGTCCAACCGTGGCCCTGTCCGATGGGACTTGTGTGCACGAGTTCCCCCAACCTCGAGTCTGCTGTTCTAATTTTCTGTCAAGGTGCCTTCTGTAAAAGCAGGGGAATGATATGCCAGTCTACGTCGACGACGGACGGGCCGCTTTTGAGACTGCGATCCGGCTCCGAAGGTGGCTCTTCGAAGCCTGCAGGCACGGATCATTCTTTCCCTGGGACTAGCCCTGGCGGTTCAGGAGAATGGGATGCGGCAGACACGTTGGCCAGCCCCAACACCACCATCACCACCAAGTCTAGCCCTCGACCTATTGCCTCGCCCTCTAGTGTGTCCGCTTCTGCACCCAGTGACTACTCTCCCCTCCCAGGCTACGATGCAGGTTCCAGTAGCTACCCGTCACATGCCGACCATCGGGGTAGGCTGAAGTCTGACATTGCAGGCATCGCCACTGCGGGCATGGATATTGTGCAACCTACACTCAACTCCCCGGAATCGTCGTGTCTCAGTGGCGAGGGCTCATTTCACACTCTGGAAGATAATCCCGGCAGAGCGACCTACTTTCTCGGTCGTACTGCGGAGCAGGATCCTCTGGTTCTGGACGCCTTCAGTTATGGTATACTAAGTGAGACGGCAACCGTCGACGCCAATGTAGTCCAGCTGCGCCGTGGCGGCTCGGATGCCGACGACCTTCCACTCCATTTCCTCTTCCTGTCTATGGGCCACCCCAAGCACACCAACGAAACGAGGGAACAGGCATCGGATGCCATCGAGACCAAGGTTTGGCCGCACGCCGATGTTCTCGTCAGGCTGTACTTCAAGCATGTGCACCCGGTTCTGCCAATTGTTTCCAAGGTTCGCTTCCTTTGCCGCTACGCAAGTAACAGGAAGTCAATACCGGGATGTTTGCGCGGCGCGGTATATGCTCTCGCATCTGTCTTCTGGGCAGAGGACCCCAACACTCGTCGAGGGGACCGATTCCCCCTGGAGCAGCACGAGATCGTCGATCAAGCTCATAGGGCGCTTCGCAGAGAAATAGAAAACCCCAACTTCTTCGTTTTACAGGCTTGTTTGCTTTTGCTACATATCCAACCACCTCCCATCGATGCAATGGAAGCGCCATCGACGTTCACGTTGAGTGCGCAAGCCACTGCATGTGCCCAACTCATCGGTCTTCATCAGGATCCTAGCGATTGGAAGTTGGATATAATCGAGAAGAGGTTGAGGAAGAAACTCTGGTGGGCAACCGTTGTAACGGACTGCTGGGCAGCAGTTTCGCATGGCAACCCCCACCATATCGGCGACACCTCCTACAACACGACTATGCTCGATATAGATGATGTTCGCTGCGACGAGGATGTACCCGAGGAATTGCGACATCTCGTGGACAGCTCGAGTTGGTCCTTTGATGTCGCGTCAGGTGCCCGATTCCTGGAAACGGTAAAAATCACCTGTTTGCTGCGAAAAGTCATTGATGGCAACTTGTAAGCCCATTTGCCCCCCCCAAGGCCAAACGGCACGTTTATGCTGACAGGAGCCTTGCAGTCAGGTGGACATGAAAATGCTAGATCTGCATCAGCGTATAGCGTCGCGGAACCAACTCGCTGATATACATGATAAATTGAAGGACTGGCCTAGACTGATTCCCTCTTGCTTGGTTGTGCCTCGGAACAGGGATCCCGCCATTTCCTGCTACAACTGTAAGCTTTATGTTATTTTTTGATTCAAGACACTGAACAAGCCAAACCAAGCATGGACCGACCGGAGGGAGTGGATGTGGGCTAACAATGTTACCACCAGGTCCGCTTCACCTGACTTTTTATGCTACCCAGGTCCTGCTTTATCGTGCTCTGATGCATCCTGCTACCAAAGCCGCGAAATCAGATCCCAACTCGAATCTGAGACGTTGGTTTCCGTCTGCGATTGCCGACTTTGCGTGGTTCACAGACTTTTTCGTCAGCATCAACCCTGGTGACCTGAGAGGTTTTTGGGGCCGCCGTAAGTAACACTGTCTCTCTCACGCTGTGACGACCCCCCTTTTCTTTTCTTTCCACAGACCAACCTTGTGATTGACTTGCTTGTTTTCGCTTTACAGATGCCCGGTCTCAACTCATTCTCTGCGGAAACTTTTTGGTTTATCTATTTCTCATGGCAGCTGAAAGAGAGCACATTGAAGCTGCGCATAGGATGCTTGAAACTTTTCGAGTCAAAGTCAATAAAATAGCCGACACAGATCACATTCCGACACGAGCCTTGATTCGAGCTACGACGATTCGCACAAACTCGTTCTTTTCACAGGCTGCAGCCGTCATGCGCCATGGTCCTGAAGCGTCCATAACGGAACCCATAACGATATGTGGAGTAGATGGACCGATTAAGGGACAACAAGGTACAAGACATACGGCGTAGACACCAACCATTCACCTTGCCCAGCTTGCACAACTCGGGGCCTGCGCTTAAGCAACCTGACCTTGCCTTCACTCCTTATGACCAGCGATTGTTCTCTCTTGTTGCTGAGTCGGGGGGGGAGGCCTGTTTCTTGACCAGTCAGTCAGTGTCGCGCCCGCTTCTGGTATGGATCCTCGGTGTCGGCAGTCCGCCACATATTGATTCATGTAGATCGAGGAAATTCAAGATGTTGAGTCATGCTGTATGTCGTACATGTCGCAATATAAGCACAATTGCTCTGGCGAGCCCGAAAATCGGCACGTGACAGGGTGATTTCGACGAAATGGCACCGTTGACATGGTACGTTGAAAGTAGAAGAATATGGCATCGCGCTCAGGGAGCGGTGTCGTGGAGCGAAGCGGAGGATGGCAATGTGCAGGTCGGTATCATTGCTTGAACACTGCGCACACCGTATGGGACATCAGCTGTGCAGTCTAGATGATGCAGCAATTTCGAGCACAAGCTTGCTGCAGCTCGTCGATGTGTTGGTTGGGAGTGTCATTGAGTGATGGCGGGCGTGGTTGGGATCTCAGAACAACACGAGCGGTCCTGGATTCCTGGATCAAACCGCCCAGCTCGCAAAGGTCGCGTCGTGTCGCCTGGTGCGTGTTGCAAAAGGTGGCAAGGCGACCATGGTCGTACGGCACCAAATAAGATGAACAGTTCTTCAACGCCCTCTCGCCTGGCCTTGCACGGAATCCTGTGCCCTCGTGTGACCAATGGGCGTCATCTCGACTGCGGTCGTGGCTTCGGCCGCGGCACACAGCTGCACGTCGTGTCGCGGTGGTCTGTGTCAATAAAAGGGCGAGGAAGAAAAAAGGAAAAATTAAATTAAAATTAAATAAATAAATAAAGGACGCCCACCCCTCCTTCTCTCTTGTGAGACTCGCTTTCTCTCCCTGTGCCCCATCTCCGCCCGCCTCTCTTTCTGCGTTGGCGAGATGCCGCTCAACTTGCAGCTTCTGAAGCGGTGGCTTGTGGGAGCCTGCATCGTCGTCGCGTTTCTTGTCGTTTTCCGGGAGCGATTACCGACGGTGACGGACCTGCGCGGCCACGGCCACGGCCACGGCCACGACCACAATCGCGGTGGCCGGGATCGGGATGGATTCGTGTCCAGGGACAAGATGCTGGCTGTTGTACGGGAGTGGCAGGAGCGCGAGCGCATGAGGAGGATTGTCGGGCTTGTTTTCTATCGGAAGCGGCAAGAGGCATCCATCTTGGACTGCTATCTCAAGGTTCGTTCGTTGTCAAAGTGCCTCCCAGCCAGACGCTCGTAACTACCAGACAGACATCATCACATCAAGACTGACATTGGCTTGTGCCCGCACAGCGGAACCTGGCCAAGAACGGCGGCGTGCTCGATGGAGTGATTTGGCTGCGGCAGACAGACGATGCCCAAGACTTGCAGTTCCTCGACAAGCTTGTGCGGTCTGAAGCGCACTACAGCGACCAGACGGGACACGCCGACGCCGCCCGCGCCTACGACGGAATCGAAGACGATCTGCTGTATGTCAAGGTCGACTCTGGCATTGTACGTGTTCGCGTGATCCGTGCCCTCGTGCCCTCGTCAAACCTGCGTGCGCAGTCGGTAGTCGTGGGCAGCTTTCCTTTGCGAGGGCTCTGATGGATGCGCTGACCCTCGAAAGGTCTACATCGAAGACGGCACCATCTTGTCCATGGTGCACAGGAGGGCCATACGACCCGACCTGTACCTGGTTTCCGCAAACGTCGTGAACCAACCTCTGAGCAGCTGGCTTCACCTGAGCCTCGGAGCTGTCAAGCCGTATCTGCCCGACAACGAAACGCTCGTGAAGGCGCGCTCGGGCGTGAGCTGGCGCTCGTCTCGGCTGCCGCCGTGGCGAGGGCCGCCCGATTTCGACCTGGACAAATGGAATCCCCCTGCAGGCCGACAGCATCTCTGGCTACCCGTCATGTGGAAGAAGGACCGCCTTCTTGACAACACGCCCATTGTCCACACCGTCTACGATGCCTACAGGAAGCAGGGCAAGTGGGAGTGGATGGCCGCCGCCCAGCAGCATTTCAGTCTGCTCGAGAACCTGGAGAGGGGGGAGCTGTCAAAATACAAGTTTCACCTGTGGAACTATCAGGAGCTCGGCATGGGCACCCAGCTGGTAGCCATGACGGGGAGGGACATCAATGCCGCCAAGCCAATTGATGATGCTGCCGAGAGACACCTCAGCGTGACGGTGCCGCGCAAAACAGGCCGACGTGAGTATAGATGGCAGCGTCGTTGCTGAGTGCGCCGTGGTGAGAAATTGCTGACAAACAGTTTTTCGTAGCTGCCGTTGCTGATGGAAGAGGAGTCGCTGCTTATTACAGTTCCAAGGATCAATACGAGGCACTCGAGAAGACGGACATTCTGGAGCGGTACAGGTCCTTTGCTCAAGAACACGTCTGCAAAGGGGGAATGCTATGGACTCCTGATGTCAATCCTGTCTAGGTTCGGGTGAGAAGAGCCGGGACGACAATGTCTCGATACGAGGCGCAGACCATTTCGTGCCTGGGTGGCATTGTACACGGGTCGGGCGTTTGTTGATGTGGAAAGGCATCCTTTGTCTCGCTTGTTCCGTTTTTGAGCTTCTGGCCATGGGAGTTGGAAACATGAGCAACGCAGAATGCTGCTACTCAACCTTGATGCATGTGACAAGGTCATGCATGCTAGAGAGGCGTCATGTGATGGTGATGGTGGCTTCTTTTCAGTTCGCTTCACCCAGCTGCACGACACACCCACGACCCCCGGCCTCGGTGCCGCCGTCCTGAACAAGGGCGCCGCTTTGTGTGGCCAGATCCGTTGCGCGGTGGTCCCTCGTCTCTGCCTTCAAAACTTCTTTGTGACACAACAACAGCAAGGGGTGGTCGGACTCGACGCATCCCATCCCTCCTGTGCTTCGTGCTACGTGTTACGTGCTACGTTCTTGGCGATGCACCGAGGCCTGCTTTGGAAGCGGTCGAAGCTGCTCTACACCAATAGAACGAGGTCGATTTTCAACAAGTGGTATTCCGTCCAAACTGTTCAGTCTGCCTCGCCTTTGTCCTGCCCGGCCTCCCCCTCCCCCTTTTCCGTTTTCCGTCTACACACATACACACACACATGCCAGTCATGGGTCGTCTCTACTCGTCTACAACCCCGGGCTTGGACTCGAGACGCTGCGGCGGGAACTTCATACCGCGATTTGCGCCTTGCGGCTCAGCACTCGGGCCCCAGCCTCCATATCCTGCGCCTGCAGCCGCTCCGCCCAGGCCGCTGGCATTGCCAATCGCCAGCTTGCCTGCGAGCTGATTCTTGCCCACGCCGGGCTGGTTGTCGGCCCAGTCCTTGAGCGCGTCCCTTGTTTTCCCCGTGTACTTGAGAATGTCCTCGTCGCTGATGGGCCGGGGGCCCTTTTTGTCCTGGTACTTTCTGTATAGAGACTTTTCGGCATCTTGTCCAGGGCCGGACGGGTTGGCTGATTGCGAAGAGCCCATGTCGGGACGCGGGAGCGCTCAAGCGTCGACGGCGAAGAAGGCAGGCTGGATGTTGGGCAAACTGAAGACACGCCGGTTGTCACTTCACCGTCGGTCACGTCTCGGGTTCCGGGCTTTGACTGATGCGACTGCCTTGCTGACACGAAGGGGAGAGGGGGAGAGTGCTATGACTATATAGGCAGCCAACGGCCATCCAACAACCAACTCCAGCCGCACAAGTGAAGCTGTCACACGGAAGACGCCACCGCGTCAGACGAGCATGCCCTGTTCAGCTCTCCAACTAGGCCTTGGGGCCCTGGCATTGGCTTTATTGATTAGGCAGACGTATTTTCGCATCCTTCGAGTCGGTCCGGGCAGAAGAAGCCAAGGGCACCCGCGTCCGAGGCCTCGTCCCTTTCCGCCACTGCATAACTTGTCCGTGCGTCATGGGGTCAAAAATTGCCTGCTATGGAGAATCCACCCTCCGCAGCTACGAACTAGGCTTACCGTATTCCGGTCAACTGCAAATGGACCCGGCTTGGGCGCTCGGCTCAATGGGCTGCGTGTTCGCAACAACGTATCAACTTGGATTAGACGCCGGTGCTTGCCCTTGAGTCTCGGGCCTCGAGTCTCGAGTCTTTCACGCGGCCTCGTAAGCCGCCTTTTCCCCTCTGGCCCCTCGCCACGCCGCCAGCCCGCTAGGGAAAATACCTTGCCCCGGCGCCCGGTCTCGGGGGTTCATACACATGCACATGTGTATATTCACGCACGCGGTGTCTACGCGTGGGGAGCCACGCCCAAGCTGATGTTGCCGGCGTTGAACACAACGTACATGGACTGGAAGAAGACGTCGCCGTAGATCTGGAGCTTGGGGGGGCCGACCTGCAGGCCGCCAAAGCACTCTGCATACCACGCACAATCAGCAACGAACGGCTGGTGTCCTTGATGGAGAGGGGTGGGAGGGAAGCCCCGTGTGTTCTGTAGGGGCTCTGCTCCCGTTTGCACTTACCGGCCTCGGTGATGTTGGCAAAGATGAAGTTCTCGCCCTGGACCGTGGCCATGACGTCGTCGCCCATGGCGACGGTCAGGTTGGGCATCTTGGCATCGCAGGGGACCGTGAAGCCGCCCATCTGGGCATTCAGCCGCGCACCCTGGACCTGCTGGTAGTAGGCCCTGACCATGGTGGCGTCGCCCAGCATGAGCGAGGTGCCCGTGTCGGCGATGGCCTGGGCGCCGGGCTTGCTGGTCTGGACCTGGCCGTCGCCGATGATGAATCGGTCGCTGGGGAACTTCCAGAACCCGTCGGCGCTGTCGACCTTGACCTGGGCCAGGTTGCCGCGGAACCTGGCCGGGTCGACGCGCCCAAAGGTGTAGGAGCCGGCGGCGCCCCTGCGCAGATCGGCCGAGAGGATGGGCTCGGGGAGCGAGCTCTTGATGTTTTCGAAAAAGGTGTTCTGCCTCTCGGGCGTGGCCGTGTTGAGCTCGGGAAAGGCGAGGCCCAGGAGGCCGTCGTTGGCGACGTCGTCGACGAAGGACTGGGAGACGTCGCTGGGTACGCCGACGGCCTGTTTCTCGACCGAGACGCCGCCGACGGTGACGCGGTCCTGGGTGATGTTGCCCTTGGCCCCGGAGCCGTCGCCGTACCTGATCTGGAAGCTCGCGCCCGGCATCGCCCGCGCCGTCGCGCTCTTGCTCGGGTCGTAGACGTTGTGGCCCCGGCCAAGTTGCGGACCGAGGGACGTGCTGAACACCCACAGGTCCGACGAGCCCGTGTCAAAGTCGAGGTTCACCGTCTGGCCGCCGATCTGGACCGGCGACACGTACTCGGCGTTTTTGTTGGCAGGTCTGGCCTCCGTTCTCCCTTGCTGGCTCGTGCCGTTGGTGTAGGACGGTGGGGGAGCGGCGCTGCTTGCATTCCCGTTGTTGTTGCCATCATGACAGCTCGGATGCCCCTGCTGACTGCCTCCGTTGCCGCCTCCATTGCCGTCTCCTCGACCCCGTCCTGGCGACGGCTCCTGGCCCTGGCCCTGGCCCTGGCCTGCGTTTCCGCCAATCCCCCCCTCGCCCTCGACGCCCAGCGATTCCAGGACATTGTCCAAAAGCCCCTTCCCGTGTGGCCGCCTCAGCTTGACAGGCCCGAAGCTCTCGGTCTTCGGGCTCCTCTTCGCCCGCGCCTCGGCGTGCCTCAGGTCCTGGGCCTCGGCGGCATCCAGCAGGCCCTGGGGCACCGGCACGAGGAACTTTCTGTACGCCCTGACGAGCGCCCGGGGTCCATTTCGGCCGGTGAAGTGCGGGTTCGCCCTTCGCTCGACGCTAAACGAGCGCTTCTGGATACTTGCTGCGGACAGGCCGGCCGAGACGAGGACGGCGCAGACGCACACGAGGAGACACCTGGCGTACATGTCGGCAACGAAGTCGTCGCCGGGAACAACACCAACAGCCAGACGTCTAGGAAGAAAGAATGGCGGGAAGCGGGAGGACGCCGCCCAGGACGAGGAAGCAGAGGATAAAAGGAAAGAAAAGAAAAGAAAAGAATTAGACGCAAAGCAAAGCTAGGATCACGCCAGGTGGCCTCTGTTGTTTTTTTGAGAAATATCTTGATCCAGCCAAGACGTCGTCCTCGGCCGTGAAGTAGGCTGGCAGTAACCTCGCGGTCAAAGGACGAAAGAGAAGGAAAGACAGAAAAGGAGGGCGAGAAAGCCAGAGTAAAAGAAGACAAGTCAAGGACAAGGCGTGGACGGTGAAAGAAGAGGTGGCGGGCAAAGAAGAGGAAAGTCAAAATGCGACTGGGGGCTTTATAAAACCCGGTGCCTTTTGTCTGTTCCCCATGGGCGTCGCGGACTCGCGGCACCTGGAGTTTGCGAGAGGCACACGCACACCACGTGCCACTACTACATGTACGGAGTACATGCACATAGTATCGATTGTGATGGAGAGGCAAGAGAACCGAGCGCCGTCCTGCCAGCTTCAACCCCGATATGCCTTGATCCGGTGGCATGGCGGGCGGCTAGGACGGACGAACTGAACTGACAGGTTCCTCCTCCGTAGCTCCGACGCGGATGCTGTCAAACACGACTCGCCCGAGTCCAAAACACGGCCGTGACAAGGCACCCCCCAGCCCAGCGGCAGGTTGGAGGCTGGAAGGGGAGGGCGGGACGAGGACGAAGACTTGGTTGGCCCTGAAAAGCCGCGAGGTGAGGAAGACGAGACGACGTCGCGGTTCCTGCGGCCCGGGGCGGCCCCTCGAGAGCCAGAGCCATGGATGGTGGGCCGCGAATGAATGGGTGAATTCCATGATGGAGGAGTCGGAGTCGGAGTCGGAGTCAGAGTCGGAGTCGGAGTCGTGGCAGGGGCTTTGTTGTTGTTGTTGTTGCCGCCACCCACGACTTGATACCACCGCCACTGCAGCGCAGCGTCCAGACACGGCGTGAGTAGTGCAAATGCTCCGCAGTGCCTTTCCAAGAATAGCAGCTCGCAAACCGCATCCTCGGCTCTCGCCCGGCCCTCGTGGGGCGGTCCCGACGCTGCTCCTCGACTTTTCTTTGCGATGCCGTTTCGCGGCGCGAGGCGAGGCGAGGCGAGGCGAGGCGAAGCCATCATTCCATTCCGAATCCGTATTCGAAAGCCCCGAAAAACAAACTCAACATTCGTCCACAAGGGGCAGGAGGCGCCAGCGCCGTTTCACCAGAGCCATGGATGGGGGCCGTTCCGTGGCCCGCGTCGGAAGATTTGGAGAGAGGGGGAAAGAAAAACGGCGCCATCAGAATTCGCGACAACGCGCGACCTTGATTGAATCACGTCAGTTCGTTTGTCGCGGGAGCGGCGACTGCTGAAACGCGGCTCAGGCCGCCGCCATTTCATCCGACGTGGCTGAAACCCGTCGCCTGCATCCCCTGCCGGCTGCCTGTTACACGAAGATTGTCGAGGCCGGCGGAAACGGCAACCATGCCCAGGTTCGCACGGCCGAGGCATCTGTCATACGGAGTAGAGTGAGTAGTTGGGCACTTTGTCTTGATCCCACAGCCAGAGGTTCCATACAAGAGTCAGTAGCTTGCATGTACTCCTTGGCAAACACCGCAACTTGATTTGCTTTGCTCGCCTTGGACAAAGACGGACAAACAGGGACATTGTTCATATGTAGTGGTGACTTGTCGGTTGACTGACGTCCGAATGCCACGATGCAATCGACCGCGCGTGGAACAAAGACTCCATCTACCCGCGAGCAAGCAAGCACGTGGGCAACCACCTCCATCACGAACGAACCGGCCCTCATGTTGCTATGCTAGCTACTGCGACATGCTGCTGAAACCGTCTCCGGGCATAGCAGTCTGCCGGTCCTCCAGATACTCCCTCTTGCCGATCCTCTCGCACAGCTCCCCCAGCGCCTTGGCGGCAAACTCGTAGTCGGCCAGGTCCAGATAGATCTGGGCGCTGATACGGATCCAGTACCGGCCGCCCATGATGAAGCGCGACATAAAGGTCCTGTAGTCCCTGACAAGCGTCTCCGTGATCCACTGGAAGACGGTGTCCCTGTGCTCCCGGGGGACGACCACGTCCGTCTCCCGGGCGCCCTCGCCTCGCTCGCCCACCCACACGGGCAGGGCGACGTTTCCCATGGCGCAGTTGGTCATGGTGCCCTTGCTGTTGTCGAGGTACGTGGTGCCCAGCGCCTCGGCCACCCTCCGGACGCCCTTCTTGTTCAGGTCCCACAGGTACGAGATGATCCTGTCCTCGCCGCCGCAGACACGGCGCCGCCACTCGATGGCGTCCTTGACGCACATGTACGGCCCGTTGTCCCGGGTGCCGACAAACTCAAAGTTGGTGACGTAGGCGCTCTTGGCCGGCGGCGGCGGCGGCAGCGGCGTCGTGCGCCGCGCCAGCTTCGGGACGAAGCCGTGGCTGGTGGCGAGCGTCGTCCGCAGCAGGTGCTGGTTCCTCACGGGCGCGTACAAGACGGCGCAGCCTCGGGGGACGAGCAGCCACTTGTGGCAGTTGGAGACGAAGAAGTCGGGGTCGGCCGCCGCGACGTCCAGGTGCACCATGCCGACGCCCTGGGCGCCGTCGACGAGGCTCGTCACCCCGAGCTCCTTGCACGCCCTGGCCACGTCCGCCCAGGGGAAGACGACGCCGGGCCGGGACGACACCACGTCCAAGATGCACACCCTGGCACGTTTGCCCTCGTCCCGGATCCCCCCGACGGCCCTCCGGAAAGCGTCGACAATCTCCCCGTCCTCGAGCGGGTACGCGATGGCAATGTCCCGGTGCTCGAGCTTCCCCTCGAAGTACTCGGCCAGGTAGTCGGCCGCCTTGCCGCACGCTTCGTAGACGGTCGAGAAGCTGAGGATGACGTCCTTGCCGTCCTCGCTCCACGCCAGGTTGCGCAGCACCGTGTTCACGCCGTCCGTGGCGTTGCCCACAAAGACGACCGTCTCGAGCGGCGCGTTGAGCAGCCCGGCGAGCTCCGCGCGCGCAGCGTCGATGAGCTTGGGCTGCTCGTAGAGGATAAACGGATCCGGACGGGCCTCAGCCTGGTCCTGGTACGCCCGGAGCCTGTCGCGGACGTGCTTGGGATACGTGCCAAATGACCCTTGGGGACGCGGCCGTCCCGTCAGCAGGACATCAACAAGCAAAGCAGTTGTCTGCCTCGCGCTGGCGGCCACAAGTCACATACCGTGGTTCAAGTTGCGCCACTCCGGGTCAAAGAGGAACTCCTTCTTCCATCCCGACCCGAACGGCATCGGTCCCTCATCTGGCTGGCCCGTCGCTCCGGGTGCGAGAGCGAGAGCCTCTTGATGGCCCATGACGGATATGGGCCCGGCCGGCTGCGGATCACGAGGCGTTTCTGTGTCGAAAGAAGCATGCAAAGTCGTTGCGGATGCCGCTCGGCGTACGTACAGGACCAGGACGAGGGCAACGCTCGAAGGAGAGAGCGACTCGGTCGGTCGGCACTGCCACCAATCAATCTCCACTCGAACCGAGCCCCAACTTCCGACCATCTCATCTCGTCAGAAGCGCGCGTGTCAACCGCGCCCTTTGCTTTGGTGCGAGGTGGCCACGCCGCTCTTCGTCACTCCAGTCGTGCGCATGCCGGCATCCCATCACAGGACCGGCTCAATGATTGTAGAGCAAGGAGAGCCAACCTCTGCTGGCGCTTGTCCCCATGGACCGACCCTTGCCGTCATTCAATTCATTTGCTTCTACGTCGAAAGTGCCAGTACCCGTGCAAATACTCCACATAACAGCACACCAGAAATGCAATGCAGGCTTGGATATCATCTTCAGTCCCGACTCCCGACTCCTGGGGACTTCTCCCAACGCCAACCGGCTCACAGCCAGCCATCCAATCCATTTTCCATATACCAAACAACCCGTCAGCCCAACTCCATCGCCATTCATCTTCCAATCGTCCATCATCAAGCAACGATATGTCGCGTTGGAAAATCTCCGACAACTCGCACTTTGCATCATTAGGGACTGCAGCTCCAAGTAGAGCCCCAATTCTCCAACTGGCCGTCTAGGCTCACTCCCATCTGCTCTGGTGTCATCCATCTAGTCATCATCGGACTCATCCTTAGGCCAGCCAATGCGAGTGCCGCCTTTGCCTCTTCCCCTGTTCCCGTCCGAGTCGACGGCATGTTTTCGCCACAGTTTCGAAACACGTGGCCATGCGGTGCACCATGCAACCCTCCAAGAAAGTCGTCTAGGGAGAAGGCGTTGCGTCCCCGGAACGTCTTGGCAATGCGCGAATTCGGCGACAGCGACGTCAGAGGCCCGGGCGGCGGGCTCTTCGGCTCCATCGGCTGTGGTTTGTTCGCGTACAGCGGGCATGGCCGGCTTGCGGCGAGCCTTTGTAAAGGGGGCAGCTTCAAGTCGTCCTTCTTAACCATGTGCGCTGAGATCCCACCTCGCCTCCTGCCAACCGTGGGCGCGGGGATCTCCTCGCCATCCACCTTCTTTCTCTTCCTGATTCTGGCATTTTCCTTGACTGAACTCAGAATAGAATTGATACTGCATGGCTCGACAGGAGCGCGCACCCGAGGTAGTGCGAGTTCGGCAGCGAGGTGATGGGGTGTTTGGCTTGGCAGCGCGGCCTGCATCTTCTTGCGTGATCTGCCGTGGTTGGGGTTAAGTGTAGATGACCGTCTCCGACCCTTCTCCAGAGCCGCCGGCGCTGACATTCGCGACTTCTTCTTCCGTCTGGCCATCATCTCTTTCTGCACCTTGTCTGTTGGAGCATCGGCCAATGCTTCGGCTGCATCGCCCGCTGCTGCGATGCCTGTGGATAGAGAGGCTCGACGGCCTGGCGCGGCCGCCGGCTCTGCGCTGCCCGTTATACGGCGCAGCTCACCAAGAACTTTGAGCGTCCAGTAGGCGCCGGTTGCCTTGGTGTCGCGTAGAGCCACCGGATTCACGGGCGGCGGCTTCTTTTTCTCTTCCCTTGCTCTATCCTCGGATGTTCCGCTGGACTCTCGCTTCTTTCTGGGCTTTGGAGGTTCCAGCTCTTGCCAGAGTTTTGGTACCCTGACTTGCAAATCCGAGACCCAGGCATCACAGTCCCACTGCACCCAATAGTCGATAATGTCTCCCCAGATGCTATCAGGGGGCTTGGTAAAGTTGACAAAGACAACTTTGCCGCCTCTGCAGTGAACCGCTTTTGCAAACTCTCTGACCATGACCTTCAGGCCGTGGACTCTCAGGCTTGTGCCTAGAATCAGCAGCATGTCCGGATAGAGACCTAAATCATGAGTTATAATTGGGCTTATGAGATGTGAGTTAGGATGCTCTTCGCCATAGAGCACGATATCAGGACGTAGTTTGCCAACGCCCAGGGCGCGCTTGCCCTTCTCCTCCCGCGCCACCGTGGCTCCGACGCAATGGGGACACTCTGGCTGTTGGCCTGAGAGCGTTTCGGATTCACGGTTGCCATCATCCCAGGAGCAGACCTTACCGCAGAGGAAGCATCTGAGGAGGTCCAAGGACCCGTGCAGAAAGACGCATTCAACTCCGGAGCGAGGTAGCACCTTTTGAGCAACTTTCGGAATTACTCTGGCTTCATTAACTGATGGCGACTCCCTGTCAGCGGCGGGAGTGGTGTCGGTCTTCTCGTCCGATGACGACGGCTGTGACTGTTGGCTTGGCTCAGCAGGAGCATCTGACTGGCTTGGGATCTCGGATGACAGTTTGTCGCAGGATTCTGACTTGGCTTCCTCAACCATTTTATTCAATTGGGCTGTGTTTGCCGTCGACCGTCGTGAGAATCGTCCACGACTGCCTGGGCCGTCTTGCAATCGTGTCGAGAGTCCAACTTTTTCCTCTATTTGATCGATATTTTGGGTGTAGCACCTGACCAGCTTTCCCCGATCACGCAAGTGGCTGATGAACCGATGAGAAGTTGTAGGTTCGGCGGCCTTAATCTTTTGCCGTAACGATGTTGCGAATGTGTAGAAAACCGACGTTCTTGTCGGGTCTGACCAAATGTTGGCGTCAAAAAGATCCTTGCCCTTCATGTTCGGTAGGGTGCTTCTGCCCCCGGCGGAAATCTGAGATGAAGCGGATGAGTCTGGCGTAGTGTCTGCTTCATCAACCTCAGAGAGCGATGTACTACTGCGTTGCCCGGAGCTCCACTCTGACATCGGCGACCCTGGCCCGAACGGGTCAAAAAGAATAGGCGGAGGTGAAGAGAGCGGTGACGAGCCTAGGGGAATAGCGACATCTGTCAAACGCCTGTGGGTATGGGATGGAAACTCGGATGGTGAGATTGCGGATTCAGCTGGGGGGGATGATAGAGGCGAAGTATTCGGACCCAGAGAAGAATGAGTTGCTCCTTTGGATTGCGGTGTACTGAGCCTTGTTTCAACCACAATTTGTGCAGTAGTCTCAGCAGCGGCAGCACTTTCTGCGACCGATTCCGGACGATCTGCACACTGAGGTAGAGACGGTCCATGCTGAAGCGCGACTTGATAACCGTCTGATATAGTTTTAGCGGCTGTCGAGTCAGCCTCGTTCGTTGAGTCTGTAGACGTTCTTCTTCTTTTCGCGGGACGTGAATTTTCTGCGGCTTCGTCTTTTTTAACATCTCCAGTCTGTTCCTCTTGGCGCGCCTGTCGAGAAGCCGCGTCGAATTGTGCCTGGATAAGCGAGTATAACCCATTCTCTGATCGGAAGTCCTGTGCTAGGCAGTCAGCGTCAACTGACCACAGACGAGAAAATCCAGAAGCACGGCCAAAAGAAGGCAGAGGAAGCGTCCGTACAGGTATACCGGAATTCGTACTGATACCAGCACCAGTAACAACTACTACTTTCCGCGCCTTCACCAAAGCATTCGCAACGTCTCGTAGATGCTCCTCAGTTCCAGGTTTTACGTGCTGCGTTGGCATTTTCACGAAGCTAAATGACTTCACTCTGGCGTTTCCTCCTTGTAGCACAACGGCTACGCGAACAAATCTAAACCAGGGCGCAGAATACCTCGTTAGGGACGCGGGTTCGGGCGAGCATCGTGCGGTTTTCGGGAACGATAAGACGTGCTGTCGAGGAGAAGTCGAGTACGTGGAACCAGAGTCAGCAATTGAGCAACTTGGACAAATTCACACCTGAATTTGCAGTGATTAAGAAGTGAAGTGATCAAGCGCGCCGGGGTGGTGGGAGCTTCAAGCTGTTTGTTCAGACGAGTAGAGGCGCGCTCAACGAGTGGCTGTCCAAGCTGCTCCCAAGGTGCAGGAAAGTATTAAAACGAAGAAGAAAAAACGCCCAAGCCTAAAAGGCATAAAAGATGCTACGTACGCAAGTAAACAGAAGACCAATTTGCAAATGCTCTAGCAGAGCGGAGCAAATGCGTTGATTGAAGCTAAATCAGGCCGACGCGCTTCCACGACTCATTAGTCTGTTATTGACCTGTCCGTGGCGCGGTGGTTTCTTCCTTGCCTGTTCAGCCAGCCAGCCAGCCAGCCAGCCAGCCTTGCTTTGCCCGCCCGTTCCTGTCCCGTCCTGGCCCAATGCCCAATCCACTGATTGGTCGAGCTGGATCTTTGGTGGGTCTTCCCGGCCGCTAGGCCGTGATATGGAGTACTAGTTACCAACAGAACAAACAAACAACATATTGCCTTGTCACTTGTGCTACGACTTGCTCCGTGGGTATTTCGTCTGACTGCGTACTTCACAAGTCTCGGGAAAGATTTTCCTGACTCCCGCTCAACATGTACGCACGTTTCCACCTCGCGCGATCCATCTTTTCCGCAAGACCGTTTGTCGATGAAGGTGGGGAGTCGCTTCCCCGCTTCTACGGCTACATCCACGATACGACAAAGATGGTACCAGGGCGCCGATTAACTTACCATGTCAGTAGCACTGCCCTGGCATGAAGGAAGTCACTTGGCGGGGCTCATACACTCCCCAAAAACAACAAAAAAGGTGGAAGTAAAATCACAAATGCAAGTGTGGCACAATCAAGTCTATCGTTGGAACTTCTCATGGATGGATAAAGCCTCGGCCAAATGATTCAACTAGGCGCTTTGACCGCCCAAGTCCGCGTGCTCTCGTATACTCGTATAACAAGCTCTATGCTCAAACCAATTCTAATGTCAATGATAAACATAGGTCTTCTACGAGTTGTTCTGGACAAAAACCAGGCCCGAGTCAGATTGTATACAGCGCCTCAGACAGCCCTGCTTCATCTTCCATCTCCAACAAGAAACTAGACGAAATGGATATAGTCTATTGTCTGTCATTATGTTGAGCTCTAACTCTAGTAGGGTGGAGGCCAAGTCGGCATCCCAGGCGCCGTGAGCGAGGAACGCCAGAGGTGTCAGCTATCTGCTGACTGTGTGCCCGTGTTAAAAGAAAATACAAAAAAAGTCTCTCCATCGCTGGACTCGGCTAATCCATGTTGACCAACACATCCATGAATTTGGTAAAGTCATTAGGCACGCCAAGTCCAGTAATCGCATCATAACCCTTGGTGGCAGGCCAACCTCCGGGCTTGTTGTCCCCCGAAAAGTCGCATGAGAAGCTCTGTCCCGTCGTTATGTCCTGCAGGACACTGCGAACCTCCTCGGAGTATAGCCTCTTGTTCAGCCAACCCAAAACGGGCTTTCCCTGGCGGACACGTGCGTCATTCACCAGAGCAATCATGCCGGCGAGAACGGGCGTGCTCGCGCTGGTACCACGGAGCATTAGGGGAGTCCCGTTGATGATGGTACTGAATCGAGTGCCAATGGCGGAAATGTCTGGAACAGCACGCATCTCTGGGTTGTAGTAGCCCTCCAGGTGGCCGTTGAGCTCAGAGACGTACTCCTCCACAGCCGTGTCTTGCCAGTCAGGTCGCGGGAAGTAGGCAGAAAAGCCTCCGGAGCTGAAATTGGACCCATTTGGCGGCTCCTGACCGTTGTCTACGGCGCCAACAGAAGTGACCCAGGGACACGAGGCCGGAAACGTCGAGATGGTCATCTCCTTGTTGCTGCCATCGTTGCTTCGGCAGGTAGCATTGCTACCACCCCTGGCACCGCCATCTCCTGAACTAGCGAGGACCGAGACGCCACGGGCAGTGAGCATACCAATCTCGTGACAGACCCTGATGGCATAGGCCCTGGGCACGGAAAGCTCATCGTCTGCATACGAGATGGACAGAACGTCGGGGAGGTCATGATTTGTCTTGGAGGAGAGATACTGGAGAAGCTCGAGGTAAGGCTCGTTGTCGTCGAGTTCGCCGGTAAGAGGCTTGCCGTTCTCATCAATCTTTTGACCACGGCCACCTGTCGAATAGTAGATGACGTTTGCGGGGAAGCCAACAGCCATTCCATACTGAATATCCAGGCTGGCTTCCGATCCGGCAGTACCAAGGTCTTGCCTGTTCTCGCCGCCCTGGATCAGTTCCACGGTGAAGTTGTAGCCTGCCTTGACCAAGTCGGGTCGCGAGCGTCGAAAGCTTTGCTGGGTATCGGCGTAGCTGGCCCATTGTTCCAGGAAGCCGGCGATGCCAAACCGAATGCACGACTCGCCATCGGGAGTGGTGTAGTTGATGCCATACAAATTGTTGATGCAGTCCAGAGTCGTGACGGGCGAGCAGGCAACATCGCGGCGATGCAAGCCCTGGTCCTCGGCGGCCAGGGGTGGTTCAACGGATACCTCATGCTCGGGTGTCATGAAGTTGGCAATGGGATGAATAAAATCGATAGATTCGGAGAGTGAATCGGGAATGTTGTACTCGGTGGCTCGAAGAATCGGTTTCCGGCCGTGATATGAATAGCGTCGAAGGCGCGTATCAAGCAGTCTTTCGGCTTGGCCAACCGTCGTCGGAACGTGAATCCAATCCATGTCGAGGCTGGCGCCGGAAATGCCGTTGCACGACAGCCACGCCATAACACGGTCCACGTCTTGTTTGGCGGGTGTTTTGAGGGAACGCGTGTCGTTGATGTCCAGCAAGCCGTGGGCGAGAATCTTGGAGGGCAGTGTGTGCATTTCAGGTTGCCTCAGCGCGATTGAGAAGCGCATCGGCGTCGAGGCATCGGGCATCTCGTCGAGCATCTGCCACCCGTCGGGAATCGTCGTGGCCTTTTCGACGCATATGGCACTCGTCGCGAGACGGGCAAAGGTGCAGGCCGCGACCAAGAGACTCGGCGCCATTTGTATTTGTTTATTCGATGGTGAGGCAACGGCGGCTGGTGTGTACTTGGTGTTTGAGTGCCTGGTACGGAGTATACGTGGCAACGCTGCGATGATTCAGACGTTGGATGCCAACATTGACGTGCATATATACACACCAATCTGGGCCGTCTCGATGTGAATTGGACCAGAGCAGGTATATCTGGCTATCGAGCCTGCCCTGCCGACGAGGACCTGGAAATTGGAATCAAGTCAAGTGACGGCTGGACAGACCAGCCCAGTCGACATTTGTTGCACCAGCTGGACCAGACTTGTATTATTTGTTCGTGCCTTGGATCAGCCCAACGCATTGGCCTCGCTGCCCCTTTCCTGTACGTAACTGCCATCTCGTTGCTTTTTTCCAAGACACATGTCGATACATGGGGAGTACATGGGGAGTACATGCATCCTCGAGGCACTACCCGCCTGTCCACCTACTGAAGCACCTGACTAGGTACCGAGGCAGGTATGCAGGTTCCGAGTAGGTTCCGAGTGGTTTTAATAATGTCCGTGCGTCATGTCGGTTCGAACATTGTCAACCGAAAACTCAATCGCGCCCCGCTCTCTGCCCTGAGCTGGCAGTAGAGTACGGACTAACTTAATCTATAATTAATTGCGGAGTAAGGAACCACTTGACCTTGACAAGTCCATGGATCCGTTGCTCCACTACTCCGCATCGTCGTCAATCAAGATCGCCGCTTCATGGCTGGCTACAGCCCCGGTTCCAAGCCCACGATCCTGGCTGGTGCAAACGCCACGCCCCGAGCCGGTCACCGTACGGAGTAAAATGACGCTGAGTAAAGTTGTTACACATATACTACCCGGGTCCGAAGTAGCCATTGAACGCACTCTAACACCTTCACGCCGAAGCCTCAGAACACCAGGCGGAATTTTTCCCAATGCGGCCAACTACTCGCTGACTACTCCGTAGTTCGGTGGCCATGGATCAAACGGTGAAACTGTCTCGCGCAGGGAAGCACACCCAGGTCCAGGGATAACATTGTCCATGGTTGGCCCTGCGCCCAGTCGTCGAGTGAGCATAAGCATCAGCAGCAGCAGTAGCTGTGCTCCCTGCCAAACTTGTCTTCCTAACAAGTTTACCTCGTACTGCAGACTGATGGAATAACGGCCCAACGGATGCCGCGGCCACGTCAAATTCCAAAAGCGCCAGATTCGTCAGAAGGAGGCTAGGACTCGGTCGGGTCGGCGTGGCTACCGACGTACATGCCTTGACTGAACAGTGAGGACTCGACCAACATCTCGATTCTCGACGACTTTACCAGTACCGTCACAAGTACAAATTCTTCTTCCCGCCTCTGTTAGAACAACAAGCACTTGTGTGGATGGTTTCTATGCAAAGGCCGCGGCAACCCAGGTCCCGTGTAATCCGTACCGAGTAGCTACAAGTTGGGCCGCGGACAACCAACCAACAACAGATAGATGCGGCTTGACTGGCAAGCGAGCTGTTAGTTCCGAGTTGAATCAAAGTCTTTCTTTTCCTCGCGTGCATATTTGTCACTCTGCGCCTTGCAGCGCTGTCGAGCGTGCGCCGTGAGCACACCATGGAACGACGCGGGCGATCCAAGGGACACCAAGCAAGACATGAAGTAACCTCCGACAACCCTCCAGACGGACCTTTTTTCAGTTTGATGTGCACGCACAATAAGCCGCCCTTACGCCCCTCTTTCATCTTTCATCTCAGAAGACGTCCGAGGACGGCCGGTGCCGGCTCAAGTTCCGCCGAGGCTTCGTTACCGTCTCCGGCCATGGTATAGTTCGGCCTCGGGTATTTCCCCTCTTCCCGGGCCGCTGCCCTGGTTATCCCACCTTGGACTTTACTCACGATGCTATGCTGTTGACTGTTAGCTGATGGCTGCCGTATGTGTGTTTGCCGCAGCCACAGCAAAAGAGGTACGAAAGTGCCCGACTTCCAGGTCCCAGCCCGAGAAGCCGAAAGAATATCCTCTCAACTACGGGATCACTGTGCATCCGGCTTGCTTACTTCACTAACCGATCCATATCAGGGTGCCGCTTGCTCGCCAATCCCATGACTAGTCCATCCCGGTCAAAGATATCGCCTGCATCCCGTCCCCCAGACATCCAATGACAGGTAAGAAGTGCTCAAGGTACCGCACTATGATACTGTGATGGCGACTTGCGACATCCTTCGTTCTTCCTCCTCGCATCTGACGCCAGAGGACCATCTTCTTGGGGGTATTTCCATTCGATCAAGGCAGCAGTGGAATCAGCCTCCCAGGCCGGTATTGAGGTGGGATATGTTGCGCCGACAAGCCTCCTTCACATCAACCCCAACGTACTTACTCAGCTTTCTTCGCCTTGTAAATCTCGGCCTGTCGGGACTTCCTGCTGTCCCAAACTACCCGGGCCTTCGGGAGCTCCTGCTGTCCCATGTACTCGACATATATACGCCTGCTGGTCCTTTGCAGCTGAGTTTTGTTCTTTCAAATGTCGTTTCTCAAACCCCTAGACCGCGCTTGTCACTGCCGCCCCTTCACTATCGGTTGTCATTGCGGCAAGGAGACGTCATGGCGGGAATCAATCACCTCAATGTGTACTCGGGGCCAGACTCTGTGAGAGACTACTTTGACCCAGAATACCAGCCACTGCTTCCGCTGGTCGAGATCCCAGAATGTCTCAATCCCTACAGGGCCGACGGCGTGCGCATCTATGCCAAGATGATGTCGATGCACCCGGCAACCAATGTCAAAGTCATGCCAGGTGACTCGTCCCAGCTTCTCTACCATGTCTGGTCGAGGTACTAACTGGGGAGCAGCCATGAATTTGTTGGAGAAAGGCGTCGAAAAGGGGAAGACTACCACCGTGGTGGAGAGTTCGTCCGGATCAACCGTCATTTCCATGGCAATGGTCGCCCGAGCTTTTCACGGTATCAACGACGTTAATGCGTTCCTAAGCAACAAGACTAGCGAGACCAAGCTGCGTCTCATGCAATTTTTCGGCCTCAGTGTGTAGGCTTCAAACCCCCCCCCCCCTTCCTCCCCCTTCCTGATGTGCCGCATTCTGACGGCATCATACAGAACTCTTTTTGGCGGCCCTGCTCAACCAACGCCCGTCGATGAGCGAGGAGGCATTCGTGCGGCTTCTCGCAAGGCAGCCGAGTCGGCATCTGCATATTCTCCCAATCAGTACCAGAACCATGATGTGAGTTTCGCCGCCCTTCAATACGTGCGAGTTGAACTAATACCACGTAACAAGAACTGGAAAGCCCATGTCCGCTGGACGGGGCCACAGATCCATAAACAGTTGCCCGATATCAACGTTATTGTTGCTCCCATGGGTACATGTGGTAAGACTACTCCCAATGGGGTTCCGAATGGCCAACCTCCTGGGTATCAATCAATACTGACGAAGATGGGCGAGGCACAATGACTGGTCTTGGGACCTACTTCAAGGAAGCGAAACCGTCGGTTTGCCGGGTTGCGTAAGTCGTCCTCCCGGCCTCCGCATTCGTTGTTCACGTATATTTACGGCTCATGGAGCGTCTGTACTGCTGCCGGAGAGCGGGTTCCTGGACCCCGGGAATACTCCCTCCTGAACAAAGTCGAGTTCCCCTACAAGGATGCTGTCGATGCACTTGAGCATGTCGGAGCAAAGGAGTCGTATAGCCTCTCAATGGATCTCACCAGACAGGGTATTGTATGCGGGCCGTCTTCCGGCCTCGCCCTACAAGGCCTGTTTCAGCGTGTAGAAAAGAAGAAACAAGATGGAAGCCTGTCGCAGTTGGCCGGTCCCGATGGCGACATCAACTGCGTCTTCATTTGTTCGGATCTCCCCTACCAGTACCTGAATGAGTACTTTCAAAAGCTCGGGCCAGAAAAGTTCAGTCCCCTGAAAAATGAAGTATGTCCATCATTTGCGCAGAGGTAGAACTGACCATCCGTGGCTAATTGGCAACGCAGAGGCTTCGCACCGTCGATCTGTACCGGTACGACGACGCCTGGGAGAAAAGTGCGCTCGATGCGTTAGCGACCTACTTCACAATCCAACCAACAGCAAGCGACTGTACGGTGCTATCGCTGGCTGCTTCCGGCGAGCTGGAGCTGCGGAAGCATGTAGCTCCCATGCCAAACACCCAGGTACTGGACTTTCGTCGAGCTGTGGATTTCGACGGCTTCCACTTGCCGAGCTCAGTCAATGTTCCCCTTGAAACTCTCAGGGAGGGAGCCGCTCGCGGCAGCCCTTTTGCCAATCCAGTAGATGATTGCACAATGCTCGAAGAGCTGTGGCTTGAGCTCGAAGGTCTATTCACCACGCAAGACAAAAATGGGAAAAGGAACCTTGGCGCAGAGACTCTGATATCCATTTTAAAGAACAAGAGGGTTCTAACCGTTTGCTACGATGGCGACTGTGCTAGAGTTGCGAACAGTGTACTTCGTCACAGGGGGATTCAAGCGGCCAGCATTTCGGGTGGGATTGCGGCTCTATCAAAGGTCCAACTCTTCAATAATGATGTCGCCCAGCAAGCAAGCCATGTCGTTTCTGTGGAAGCCTGAAAGGAGAAACTGGGAAAAGTTCGAGACGTTATTGAGCAGCCGCACCCCATGGTTTTTACCAACATCTATTCTCATGCTTATTTCGTCATTCGGCTTCAGTGGCTGTCCAGTGCGCGAAACGCCGGGGCAACGACGTCTTGTATGGCTTGCTTCTTGTTCATCTCATTAGGAATTCATTCAAAATACCGAAGAAAATTGGATGGGATGTGGCGATGCAGTGGGCGTCCGAGATTCCTCCGATTCAACAATAGGCACAGAGAGCGGCAGGTGATAACAGGCTATTAACAGCATTTTGGAGTGGCGGATGACTTGACTCACCACCAAGGGCCGATTATAATATCAACAGCAAGCGCGCGCAGATGAGCAATGAGGCGTGTTTTCGGAATTCTGGGACAAAGCAGCTGGCGCTTTAAAATTCATTCTCCGAAGCAGGGGTTGGCCGGTCGAGAGCAGACAAAGGCTTTTCTTCTCGTGATCCTTTCTATATATGCATCGTTCATATTGTAAAAGAGTGTGCGATTAGATCATGAATATCAGCGCCTTTTGATCAAGCATCGGAACGCGTGTTAGTTTTCGAAATCCCTTGGCAAGCTAACCATTACGACGTGTCTGTCTCCTTTGAGGGATTCCCCTAATTTTGACATGGCTGTTGACCTTTTTCGTGAATAGCCTTGCTCATACCTGCCGAGGCGTCGACCAATCTGTCATGAGGCTGCGACGGACACCTTGGGACCGACTCTTCTTGAGGCAGACCGTAGACGATCAACTGCGGCGCCATCCCTGCCTCGCGTGATATCCGTAGCTCGCCCAATACCGTACTATATTCTCCGCGGGCAACTGCCTGACCATCCACAGCCCGCCTACGAATGCATCTCATAGGCCCCAGAGCGAGAAAATGGATGCTGCGCAATTTCAGCTGGACCCGAGGGGCGAGGGCCAGCTAAGCAGAGGGCCAACCTTGCCATTGAGAAACAATACGTGTCTACGTCTTCCATCCAATCCATGGCAGCCTCGTGGGAAGACAGCAGCGACCACAACTGTCTCGGTGGCCATTGCCTCGTCATTGCCCCTGTGACCTGGTATGGTGGCGCCGCTGTCTCCGCAGACTATACGAAAGCCACGGACCGTGTGGCGGCCACCCGGGGGCCAGGTTTTGGTGGTGGCTCGGGGCTTCTTGGCGATGAGGAATCATGGTCGCGGTGGTGCTTTGTGGCGAGGAGCGTGATGGACCGGATACTGCCCGCCGAGCTGCGTACTCCATAGCAAGGCTCGGCAGATCATCAGGCCTTGATGGCTTCAGTTCAGGCAGGCGTCAGCGTGTCGGGGGAAATTTTTGCGTCAGCATCACCCCCAAACAAACAAACAAACAAGCAAGCAAGCAAGCATGGCCTGCGTCCTTTTGCGGCCAGCACGACATGACCCCTTTTACCCAACAACGTGGTTCCAATCCACCTTGGGACTGTGGTGAAACGCCAACAAACCTGTTTCGTAGATGCGTTCGAGACTTGAATAGCCGGCGGCATCGAGTGGTGCTTGCGGCTTGCCCACGCGGACACGGTGAGTCCAGATCCAAGACTTGGCGACGCAAAGACCCTTCCATCTCCGGGGGGGTGTTTCCCTTTGTTCCACCAGCAGAACGGCTGTGCTCGGCACTGCTGGGGATGATGATTGATCAATGATGACACGGCGAAGGGAAGGGGGTTTCTGAAGAAAGCCCAATCAATGCTGTATGGATCTGCTGTGCACTACGGAGTAGTTAGTACTCGGTGCCCGTGTCTAATCTGCGTTTTACCCCACAAGAGTGGTTTCGATGGGCTCGCGGAGGGCTCGGTCAGAGACGATGATGATTGCCGGGCTGGCCCCGGTCTGGCCCCGGTTCCCAGTTCTCAAGTGAGTCAAGGACGGGCGCGGAAGCGTCTTTCGATTTCGTCTGTTGTTTTGCGTTGCGGGTTGCGGGTTGCGGGTTGCGCACCCACCAGCGGCCCGCCCGCCCGCACACCCACCACCAGATGATCTGACGGGCCAGGGCACATGGGAAATGGAACTAAATGGTGGGGTGGTAGAGTGCACCGTGTGATACGAGGCGAGGTCAGATCGTCGTGGTGTTGCGTGTTGCGTGATGTGTGTGTTGTGGTGGGCGAGGAGAGGGCGAAGCCAAGTCTGGCCGGCCGCCCGTGAACTGAGGCTCGTTACTAACAAAGTAACTGCTTGAGCGCTGGTGCCTTCTAAAGTTGACAGCGAAGAGTCAGCAACATGCATGCTTGGCTTGGCTTGGCTCGGCTTGGCTTGGCTTGGCTGGTGGCTGGTGGCCACCTTTTGTGCGTGCACGCAGCGTAGCGCAGCGCAGCGCAGCGCACAGCACAAAGCACAAAGACGCAAGTATCGGCGGCGTGTCGTCGTGTCGACAAACCTGTTTTCTGGTCCTTGCCGGCCGCCCGATTCTTTTCCTCCCCTTATTTCACATCTCATGCGCTTAATTTATTTTCTGTGGCTTTTTTCCTTCCCTTTCTTTTCCCGTTGCTCATGTTGTGTTCTGCCCTTTCTGTTTGGCGGTCTGGTCAGACAAGCTGGGCAAAGGTGCATGGGGAAATAACAAGGAACGCCGCGTCTTCGTCTTCCTTGCCCTCGAATCGGTTCTTGAAACAGGTTTTTTTCCTTTTCTAATTTGCCTGGCATGCAGTGAGCCTGCGATCCGAACCAAGATTCAGACGGCAGACACCGGCAGATAGGACCGCCGTCTTTGAAAAATAAATAACTACTGGTCGACTTTTTTTTCTTTTTTTTCTTTTTCTTTTTTCCTCTTCTGCTGCGTGCAACTTGAGCATTTTTGCCCTGATAGATGGGGAAGCCCGACGCACGCATTTGCTTTCAACTCTTTCTTTACGGGGGTTCGCTTTTTATCTGCGAGCGTCTTCATCTCGCTGCTCCTGGTCTCTGGAGAGATCGACTTTTCCCTATTGCTTGTTGAGAGACAGGGGCAGAAGAAGGAAAGAAAAAAGAAAAGAAAAAAAAAAGACGGAGAGAAGAGAAAGAAAACAAGTCGGTCGTTCTAGACCCGGCACTTGCCATCATGTCCAGATCGTGGAGCAGACGGCATGCACCTGCAAGCCCGATGGCAATGCCTTCAGCCGCACAACCGCAACCACAACCACAACCACAACCACAACCACAACCACAACCACAACCACAACCACAGCCGCCACTCCATCAGAAGCATCAGTGTCAACCTCAACCTCGGCCCAGCACGCAGCAGCAGCCAGCGCCCCAGCCTGGCCGCATGACATCATTCGCGCAGCGCTGGCGAGGCAGGAAACCTGTGCCTCCTCCCGCGGCCACTCACATCGAGGCCGCACCGCAGGCTCACAGCCCAGCCCTGCCCCAGCCTCGCCAGCGACCAGCCTACATACCCACCCACGCAGCCGCCAGCTTCGCGAGAACCGTGTCAACGCTGTCGACGACTCGCATCGACGAGCGGGATGAGCTTGCGTACGACGCGACCCCGACAGCCCTCCCCCTCCCCCGGCAGCCACCCGTCGTCAGACGCCCCCACGATGACGAGCTCAACAACCAACACCACCACGACCGACAGCCATGACGACGACTACGCAGCCTTTTTGGCAGAGGCGCAAGCAAACGACGTCGCCTTCCGATCGCGCTGGGCCCGGAGAGAACAGGCCCGAGAGCACCAGTGGGCGTCGAGCAACCTCGCCGGCCTGCCGCAGCAGAGCTTCAAGGCCCCGACGCAGCGGGACAGCGCCTATTACTCGGTTGCGTCTGTGTCACCCAGCAGCGCGAGCGGACCCGGGCCGCAGAAACGGCCGCCTCGTGGTCGGTGGTCTGCGCCTGTGCCCGCCTCCGGCTCCGGCTCCGGCCCCGTCCCCGCGTCACCCCCGACTCTCGAGCACAACCCGAGCAGGACGCTGGGCAGGCGCATCTCCGAGTACTTTAAGCCCTCCCCCAGCGCCGGTATGAGCGCAGTTGCATGAGGCATTGTTTCTGTTCCGGGGCCGCCTCGGGAAAAGGGGGCCGCGGCCGGCTCGACATTCGTTTGACATGGGCTTACGAGCCTACTTTGGCGTCTTCATCCGTTCGTAATGCCATCCATCATGCCGCCAAGCCTATCGGAACGGGGGAAATCGGGACATGGCATTACCGTCATGACGAGGCCCCATCTTCCAAGCGCAGTTGGGAGGGAAGAGGGGCCTTGAGCATACACCCACAACGTAATGTAGGACCGGCGTTTCTATTTCATCAACCATTCATCCTCACAGAGTGCGTATATACTATACTACACTCCCTTGGAATTACCCAAAATTCCTCTTGGAAACAGAAATATCCACATACGTTAAGTGCCTTGTGACCCAGCTGTGTCCAAAAAAAGATTCCAGGAAAGAAAACGCTCTTCCCAGTAATGATCCCCGGCGATTTTCTACTCCCCTTGCCCGAAAATGCCCAGTATCCCTCCCGTTCGTGCATTTCGACCGCGACACCCTGGCCCATCTCATTCATCATGGCCAACCGTCGAGGAGCGGGAATTAAGTTCCAATGGTTGTCTCGCATCTCCGCCTTCAACCGAAATATTACTACCAACCAGGGTGTTGTGCCACAGCACCCTCCCTCACCCCAAAGACGAAATGAAACGAGACCCAAAATGCAAAGGTATACATGACATGTAAATGTAATAATATAGTCTGAAAGAGAACATCCAAGATGGTAAAGAGAAATCCCCACGAGGAATCAATGCGAACCGACTACCACATGCTGGGATGTCGTCATAAAACTTCATTAAATGCCAGGTGTGTTGAATCTTGTGTGCCCCCCCTACGGTGCATCGCATCGTGGGCACAACGGGCAACGCCTGTCCCAGGGCGGAGGCCCGTCCGAAACCCAGTCGCGCCATTCTTATGGCATTATATTCCCATGGCCCCAGCTAGTCGATTACGGCCCGGCGGCAATTGGATCTCTTCATCGTCGGAACTGTCCGCCAGCTTTGCCCCAGCGCCGTCCAGCATCCGCTCAATGTCTTCGTCCCGCAGAGCCCTTCGGGCGGTGCCGTTACCGAGGCCCAGGCCGCTGGGCAATGACAGCGTAGTTTTGTGGCGGCTCGTCAGACTTGTAGCTTGTCGTTTGGGCGTGGATCTGTTGTGGGCCGTGTAACATTGCGGTTGCGGCGAGTCAAGGTCCATGGGAGAGGGCGGCGGAGGCACGCCGGGTGACTTGTCAAATCCGACCTTCTTAGCAGGAACGGAGGGCCGGCTTCCCGGCAGACCACGTCGAGGCCCGGATGGAAGAGCATGCCGTTCACCACCGCTTCTCGGAGGCGCGCTTGACTGCGGACCAGGTGAGCCTGACGGTGACAAGGTATGCTTCAAACTGGCCGAGTTTCCGGGACTGCTCATAAACAGAAGCGTCTCAATGGCATCTTGCTCCCTGATGTTCTTGTGATGCGGCGAGTACATGCTGGCATCCAAATGGATTTGTGACCTTCTTGTTTCGCGGCTGATGGGTGTAGTCTGGGCGGATCCATGGGCGGATGCTGAATGCGAGTGAGAAAGCATGGTGGGGGTATATCGAGGGCTGGAATTCCGTCGTGGGTTCGACCTCGGGGCAGGCATCGAGAAAGACGGCTGGATGGGGGCTGGCGGAGCCAGTGCTGGCTTATCAGAGTGTGTGGACGGCGGTGAAGTCGACTTGCCCCTGCACTTTATCGGTTCATGGACCACCTGTACCTGAGAAGGCGTTGCGGTTGCAGCCAGGGATGGGCTAGCAGAAGATCCCTTTCTCCGGTGTACCGTACATGTGCTCGACGCTGGGGACGCAGCCTGAGAGGCCAGGCTTTCAACCTCGTCGAGATTTCTCGTCTGCCATCCATTGCTCACTTTGACCATGGCGTAGGACAGCCTTGTCCGCAACTCTGCAGAAAGCTGTGCCAGATCAGTGTCGGTTTTCCAACGGCGAGGACACGGCTCCTTCAGACTCATGCATACCTCACCTATTGTACTTCCGGCTGTTGAGGCGACGCTGACGGCACTTGTAGTCCGGGAATGTCCTTTTACCGGACTGATGCTTCCGCTGCGCCCCTTGACTTCGCCGTCAACCATCCTCTTTCTCGAATGACCGACAGCATCCAGCCCCAGCCTATCTTGAACAGCGGCGATGGCAGACAGTTGATGCAGCTGGCTATCTTGACCAAATGTACCCGATGTTGCTTCACGACGAACATTGGCGTATCTGTTTTTCAACATGGCTGTTACCACTGCAACCGGAGGACCCTCCGGGCCACTTCCTGCATCGCTACCGAGGGGCGTGGCAGCCTGGTCTGTCGCAGAGGACACATTGGACGTCTGTGAGTTGGCATTGGACTGGTCTTGGCTCTGTGACGAATCGGTGCCGCTGTCGTGCCCTGACGATGCCGACAGATCTTGCCGGCGGACGGGCTCAGAGACGGTGTTGGAATCAACATCCATGGTGCTCACGACCGTCAGAATATTCTTCTGGACGGCTTGCGAGTTGGCGGCCACGTCGGATGTGAATCCGAGCGAGGCTGTCGAAGGCGTCGCGTGCGTATCCCTCTTGTGTTTCAACAAGTCTTGCAATGTCTTCGAGGTGGCGATTACTCGGATTCGGGCAAATCGCCGGAGTTGTGTTGCCGTCCGCGATCCAGCACAATCAATGCTCGCAGCTTAATCAAGGACGGTAGTGCGCGTGTTGCAGATCATAACACACACAGCGGCGTGCAGGTCGAGATGCGGATGGTCGGGCCCCCGCCTCTTGCCTGTGTTCCTACCAGCGGCGTGACAACAGCGTCGATTCGCAGCAACGCGTCAAGTCCAGCGGCGAGGGGGGCAGGAAGCGATGGAACAAGCTGTCGTGGGCGATGGACAGATCGGAACCGCAGGGTTGCTGACAGTCGCGAGGACGAAGGTGACTGCGATCTTGGGAGGGAAAAGTGGGAGCCGCGTCACGCCCGGCCGCCGTACGCCTCAAGCCTTCGGTTGAGCACTGAGGCCTGCTGACTCTTCCATGTGGTTACGCGGTGCGTTCGCGACGGATGCGGGACGACGACGATTCGCTGTGGCGCCGCGCCGCGTTCGAGGTCCATGCAGTTCCGTGCAGGTGGGCGCACCGCCCGAATAGGACAAGAACCAGCTGACATTTGGACTGACGCACGCAGTACGTACGAGGTAGTATCGACCCGGGTTCCGCCCCAGATACCTACCCAGGTGCTTACTTATCCAAGTAAGTGGTACCTAAGGTACTGACTTGAGAAGTAGGTAAGTGACCAGGTACTTGACTGAAGTACTCAAGTGCCTAGGCACGCAGATGGTACTTACTTAAGATAGCTGACTGACCTGACTGACTGACTGTCCGCCAACGCGGTGCAGGGCCCAGGCACCTGTTGGACCTGTTGGAGCGCCCCGCAGAGCTCTGCTTTAGGTTTTACGTGTTGGGCGCGTGGGTGCACATGTGCCCAGCCTTGGCCCCAGCAAGTCCCCACCACCCACCGCCGCTGTACACCAGACGCCCGCCCAAACCGTTTGCCTCGTTACAGCGCTTTGGCTGTGTTGCCGATACGGCGGTCGCCCGCAACGCCGGACTGACGTGATATACACGGCACATACACCAGCCAACTGACGGGCAGGGAGTAGTCACTGCCGACGGTGTGCTAGGAGAGCAAGAGAGTGAGTGAGCGACTCGGACAAGAAAAAGATGCAAAAGAGCCTAGTGGCTGAAGTAAAGGTTAGTCGCCCACAGCTACAGGTCAAGCCGAAAACTCCACATGCAGCGGCGTTGCTGCCACGCGAGTAATCAATTGTTACTAGCTCGTACTACCAAGTACATAACATGGTACTCCCAAGTACCTAGATACTTAGACTTGAGCACTAGGGTACTTCAGCAGCCAACTATTGAAGCATGTTTAGTGCGTCCCCCATGTGTTCCGGGATGCACATATGCCACCCGACGCTATCATTTCTTGAAGTGTAGAACTGTTGGTGATATCGGCGTTGTCCATGTCTGGTGTGCTGCAAAGGATTCTGCGCTGCAACCCATCTCGCCGCTTCTACCTGATCAGGAGTCAGGACTTTGTGCAATTGCGGGCTTTACGGCGTACTTGTAACCCCGAACCATGCCGCCCCGTCTCCTGTCCACAGGCTTCCACGCGCTTGACTACGCAGGTTTGAAGAGTACTCCGTACACAGACATCCAAATCCTCGTCGATTGATGGCATTGGGCGCATATCAACGTATCCCGCACGCGCACGGAAACACGATGAGTCTGTGCTGGGCTAGGCGCGCCCAGGCCGGCTCAAACCCAACAGCAAACGCGTGATCACGTGGCTCGATGTGATGCAGCCCACGTGGAGAAACAAGGATGGCCCTGGCTGTGGAACACAAAACGTTGAAAGTGAAAGTGGATTGAACCACCCCCTTGTACGGAGTAGCGATTGCATGATTATTGTTACAAGTTACGTTACCTACTTAATTAGTTATTCACTGCTCGCGCCATAACATCTCACCCTCAGACTCGATGCGTTCGGGAACAAGACCAAAGCCGACCGAGTGCTCGCTCTGTAGCCGACTAGCAGAGAGACGGCCGTTGCTACGATTGACGTGGATTCGAGGAGGCAATCCCATCCGTCTTGGCCAGTCTGTCTGCTGGCCGGAAAAGTGGCGACATGACGTGGCACGATGAGCAGCTCACGGTACAATGCAGACATCGACGCGCGGCAGACTTGTACGGCAGTTGCAATGTGCAACTTCGCCGACCATGCCACCGTAACACGGGCCTGCATTATGGGGAATGACGTGCGAATGGCCTCGCCGACTTTGGGACTCGAGGAAGTCGAGAAACTCGCGACATATTCCACGTCTGCCGGGGATCATCGCAAGCTGGGATTTGGGCACGTAGGGACATCAAGTTCTTGATGTAGCACGACGACAGCTCCGCGAGGGGAGATGGATTCTACAGCGACGACGAGGGAGGAATGCTGGGGCTTACCAGGGGCACGTCTCAAGTCCCTGGACCGGGGAAGCCATGTCGTTGTGGCTCAAGTTGCCGCTTCAGCAGCAAACCCATCACGATGGCGCCAGACACGTCCTAAGCATTGCGGGCCACTTGCATCGTTGGCAAAGGAGCTCCGGGCTGGCACAGAGACATTCTGGGCTACAGGAGGTAGTAACTACGCCGCAAAGGAGACGGTTGATGCTGTGACGCATGGTATGTTGGCTGTGTGACCGCAATTGTAGGTGAAACCACCGTCAGGATGCACGGTCCCCCTTCTCTTCATTCTGTCTGCCAGTTTTCGATAGAGCTCAACTTCTTCTGGAGGTGAAGTCCCAGCACGAGGTTCCATGTTCTTGCCGCTGTGAAAGTTCCTCCTCGGACTTGCGTTTCATGGCTCCGAGAGAGTCTTTTACATTCGTCGTCTATTATCGGTAAGATGCGACTCTACCTACTCGTTGAATCACTACCCACAAGCTGGTTCGTCGCCTCCGTCATTGTAGCCATATGCGCCGCCATCTAGGATCACATGCTCGTTGTTGTCAAGATCGTCTTGTACCCTTCGCCAGTCCTTCTTGCGCTCTTCTCGACTCCTGGCTGCCCCAAGATCCGGGCCCTTGCCCCTGGCCTCAAAAATAGGTCTCATGAGTGAGCCCAACAACGGATTCTTCCTAAAGGCTCCTCCGTTCGTACGATGTGATCCCCCCGTGTTTCCAGATGTCTCCCCCAATACCCCTTCGTCGGGCTCGCTATCAACGTCGTCATCGGGAGTCGCTGGTCTCTCGATTGCAGCCATCTTCCGTACTACTCTGCCTTGGACTACGTCAATGCTAATGACTTGCCGACGTTTTTCATAATCAGGTTGGGCGTTCCATTCCATCTCTCTCAAGAGCTTCTGTTGACGTTTCAACTCTTTGGCTCGCTCTTCTGGGCTGGCCCACATGCTTCCAGTACCATTCATTGCTCCCGTGACGTCGAAATCAGCGGCTTCATCCCGAACCGTCGTTCGCTTGGCATTTTGCGCTTGAAAGCCGAGCAGCCTGTCGCGATGCTGTCGAGCCTTGGCGGCCGCTTCGGATAGTGAACCACCAGCACTGGGGGCCGAGTCACTGCGCGCCTGCGTGAATGGCGCCGGCTTCTTTGATACCTCGGCTCGTCTATTTGCCGATGCATTGACTGCCATTTTCTCTCTCCCACGCTCGTCCTTGAGTTCTCTAACCATGGCCTGCACCTCGTCAGAACTCAGCAACGGTGAGCCACAGAAGGTGCACGGTCCTAGTCCTTCCTTCATACAGATCACTTTGCCGCAAGACAAGCAGTTTGGTGCCGCGCCTTGAAGCGGGTGCCGGGTCGCCACACAGTTGCAAGCCTCCCGTTTCCCGCTCTCGAGCGCAGGATTTGTCGTGATTTCCAGGGCCCGGATGGCCGCATCCAAATCCGCAAGGGCGGTAGATTGGCCGGCCATCGGTGTCCCACCCGCCACTGATACCTTGGCCGTGTTTGCTGGTGTCGGCTTCGGGGTCGACGTCCTCGAGGTCGGGCTTGACTTGGCCCTGGCCTTTGGTGGCCCATCCGATATCAGGTACCCTGCTGAAGAGGCATGCTGTTTGGGCCGAGCTTGAGCGGGCGGTGTGGCTGATCTAAACGCATGATTGCTGCTCGGTGCGCTAGTACGTTGCGGTATGTATTCGACGTCTTTGCTCTTCTTGTACGCCTGGCTTGATGGTCCGGCCGCGGCGTACCCGTCAACTCTTCTGGCTTCTGGCACACGAATCGCCGGCTTCTCCTTCTTCTTTTGGGAGCGCTTCGTCTTGGGCACTGCGTCGAGTGACTCTGCTTCCTTGGGTGACGTTTCCTGGGCTCCGGAGGGGTCTTTTCTGTGTGAATTGAATGATGCAATAAAATCCACCGCGAGGGGTGAATCTCCGAGCAAGTTGTTCAAGTGCGCAGCCGCCTCGGCCTTGGAGAGCATTGAAGCATATTGCAAGACCTGCTGAAGTTCTCCCTCGGGAAGAGGAAGCAGCTGTGAGAGCTGCGACAGAGACATTGCAGCAATGGTTGTCGAGAATGATTGCTGCGTTGGCGTGAATGTCGAGTGTGGTGTTGGATTCTCAGACATTTGTACTTTGTACTGAGCTGGCTCATCGCAGGCAGCAAGCAGACTTTCGCCCTGATGAGTCACTAGCGATTGCCTACCCTAGAGATGTCCGCTAGCGACGTCGGACCAACACTTGTGCTATGTATCGTGATTGAGATGAAACGAGGTGTCATTCCCGGCGCCGTTTCGGTATGGATGCTTTTACGATGAAAGAAGATGTTGACTTGCCATCTCAAATCACTCAGCCACCACTGTGCTGGTTTCCAGCGCACCCGAGCTTGCGCCGGGGTTGTGAGCGCTTCTGTTGGGCGACTGCAGTTGGGATGGCGGCACGACAACTGCAATGAAACACCAGGCTGCAGATTTCTTCGAGCAGCGTTCCTGAATCCTAACAACGTAGGTAGTCACTCCATCTCTGGGATACCACACCCGCGTTCGTCCAAGCCTCTCTCCGTGGCTCAATCACAGGTCGTCCTCGCATCTGGTCACCTGTAGCTTCATTCTGACCTCGGGGAATTACTTCACTGCACGTATTCCCGGATCCCGAACCTCAATTGTCCTCGCTCATCTTGGCAGAAACTTCTTCTGGACTGTACTCCGTGCTTTCTACTGGTGCCTTTCAGCCGAAAACCCCCGAGCTATACCCGATTGGGACGAGCACACCCTAGTTCTGTTCCTGTCCAGTGTCCACAAGTGCACACGGATCCGATGGCCACCTTTCCTCACCTGCAATCTTTTAATCTAACTTACTACTATTCCTCCCCCGTCGTCCTCCCAACGGATATCGCACTCACCCTCATTGCCTGGATTCTGCATCTACATCACCTCTCGTCCATACCCAATGCAACTCACCATGTTGGCCTCTAGAATCCAGCGCAGGGCTTTCTCTGCCTCTGCCCGCAACGTGAGTCTCTTCGCCGCCAATTGACGACCCCCGGCTGCGGTGACCTTCCTTGTCCTTCGGCTAACATACGCTGCGGCAATAGCTCTCCAAGGTTGCCGTCCTCGGTGCTGCCGGTGGCATCGGCCAGCCTCTTTCTTTGCTTCTCAAGCTGAACCCCAAGGTCACCGAGCTTGCCCTGTACGATATCCGCGGCGGACCCGGTATGTTGAAGAAACCTTTGCTCCTGAAAGGAGGCAGCCCGCCGCCCACTACGAGCGAGCGCCATGCGTCAATTTCCATTCGCAACCCGAATCCGTATTTCCCGGCACCCATGACTGAATACCCACCCAACTAACGTGACCGCTCGACAGGTGTCGCCGCTGACCTTTCCCACATCAACACCAAGTCCAACGTCAAGGGATATGAGCCCACTGCTGCTGGTCTCGCCGACTGCGTCAAAGACTCCGACATCGTCCTCATTCCCGCCGGTGTCCCCCGTAAGCCCGGCATGACCCGTGACGATCTCTTCAACACCAACGCCTCCATTGTCCGCGATCTCGCCAAGGCCGTTGCCGAGTCTGCTCCCAGCGCCAAGCTCCTCGTCATTGCCAACCCCGTCAACTCGACTGTCCCCATCTGCGCCGAGGTCTTCAAGGCCCGTGGTGTCTACAACCCCAAGACCCTCTTCGGCGTCACCACTCTGGATGTTGTCCGTGCTAGCCGCTTTGTCTCTGAGATCAAGGGCACCGACCCCAAGGACGAGAACATCACTGTCATCGGCGGCCACTCCGGTGTCACCATCGTGCCTCTCTTCAGCCAGAGCAACCACCCTGACCTGAGCTCCAACGCCGAGCTCGTCAAGCGTGTCCAGTTTGGTGGTGACGAGGTCGTCGAGGCCAAGGGCGGTGCGGGTTCTGCCACCCTCTCCATGGCCATGGCCGGTGCCCGCATGGCCGACTCTCTGCTCCGTGCTGGCGCCGGCGAGAAGGGTGTCATTGAGCCCACTTTCGTCGACTCGCCCCTCTTCAAGGACCAGGGCGTTGACTTCTTCTCCAGCAAGGTCGAGCTGGGGCCTGACGGTGTCAAGAAGATCCTGCCCGTCGGCGAGATCGACGCCGCTGAGGAGAAGCTTCTCAAGGCTTGCCTGGGTGACCTCAAGAAGAACATCGAGAAGGGTGTCGCTTTCGTTGCCCAGAACCCTGGAAAGTAAAATACAGTCCCTGGGCCACATCTCTGCTCTTCCATCTCTGCCAGATCTTGACGACCTGTAACGGGAAATTGGCCGATTTTCCATCTGATGCCAGAATTGGACGCGTGGGTTGGGTTGGAAGCGTGATACATGTACAAAAGTGATGAAACGGGGTCTATTCATGAGAGCGCAATGTGCTTTTAGTGTCTGTCCGACGCGAGGATTGGCCAAAAAAAACAAGAGAGACAATAATTTTGCACGTTTCGTGACTGCTATAGAATACTTAATCGAGCCCATGTACCATAGTAATTGGCCTGTCAGAGCTTATTGTGAAGCCGCGGGGATACTTGTCAATCCGATGAATCAAGATGGGTTGGGGCATAGTTTGACAAAGTGTTGCACCATCAACTGTCAAAATCTATGTCTTGAATATACTATTACAAGATTCCCGGCTTCCACCTCGTGATAAATAGGTGGCACGCACTGTGCCCAGTCCACATCCCCTCGTCTATTCATTCATAAACTTCTCTAGTATAAAATTCTAAAGTTCCCCATGACAGTGAGATCAATGTATACACTATGTTTTTGAACAATGGCTGTATCCATGCTACTGAGCGCGACGCCCAGCTCTCCATTCCTCCAACTTCCTCCGCCTCTCAGCGACCTGTCTCTCGAACTCGGCCACCTTTTCCATCCTTTTCGCCTCCTCGTCAGCCGCCTTCTTCTCGGCCTCAATTTTCTTACGGGCGTTCTCGCGCTCGAGCTGTTCGGGGCGACGCTCGGCGATATCGCGAGCGTGGTAGTCGCTGAACCCGGCCTTGAGACCCTTCTCGATGACGAAGCAGAGGACGTAGTCGAGTGCCATGACTACGGCCATTTTCATCTTGAATTCCTCTGTAAACTTGACGAGCTTCATTTGTTCATTAATTTCTGGCATCAGTTCCAGAGCACAGACGAACGCGAGACCGGATACGCCGAGGATGCCGTAGAACATGGCTCTGTTCTCGGAGAGAGATTCTCGGAACGGACGGCCTTGGTAATTGATTGCAAAGGTGGAGACTTGCTGGATGAGTTGAAGCAGGTAAATGGCCGAGTTGAGAAGGGATGGCTCGAACTCTGCTTCGAGATCGACAAGGCCGGAGCGTCTGTGCATTGGTTAATCCAGGATGGGAGAGCCACTACGTTGTGCATCAGGAAGTTGGGGTACAAGACTTACGGCTCAATCTTCTCGCAGAGTCGGGCAATGTAGATCAGAGTCACGATATGAATGGCGAACTGTCCGAGGATGGAACCGATGATGTAAATGTTGAATATGTTGGGCTGAGGCCTTTCCTTGCTCAGACCTTCGACGACCTTGGCGCGGGAAATGCTGAGGAAGCACACAGACATGAGCATTCCGCTGATTGTGTATTGAGTATCGCCAAACTTGATCCCTTCGAGGTACAGGACGGAGAGGGAGTAGGCGCTGATCAGACAGTTGAGGGCGAGAATCTTGTACATCTGGATAGTGGCGACGAGAGTGCATCGGCCTTGCCGGATAATGTTGGGAATGGCAATGACGTCCCTGAGCTTAGAAGTGAAAGGAGCAGCGACGGATGCATCTCCGAGCTTGAGGGTGGGTGGTTCGTCGTCACCCAGCTCTGCCTCAAGCATGCCAGACGCAAGCTTGTCAGCGAATCCAGCGGCTTTCTTTTGAACTTCAGCCTGTCGAGCATCTTGTGCATTGGCCAGGGTCTGGGCCCCGGGGGAGACAACAGTTTCGACGGGATGACCCTGTGCCCTGATGTATTCCTCAGTAGTCATACTTTTGTTCTTAGCCTCCCGTTCGGCCGCCTTCATGTAATTGGGGTTGCTGGGACCAGGAGGATAAAGGTGGGCAATCATGAGAGGGACGGGGGGGGCTGGCTGATTGAAGCGCTTCATTAAATCACACTGCTTCTGGTAGACTTCCTTCATCTTGGTGTTTCTCGAGTGTTCAGCAATGCGAGTCAGGTCCTCCTTAGTACCGTTGAGGAGGGCAACACCAATGTGCGCCTGTTTGAGAGCACCGACATCGTTGGTGCCATCGCCAGCCATGAGGGTGTAGTAGCCCATGTCCTTTAGCCCAAGTAGAATGTCTTCCTTTTGCTTCGGGGACACTCGCGCATAAACCCAAGTATGGCGGAGCAACGAGTTCCAGCCAGTTTGGTCCTTGAACTGAGCCAAGGCATAGCCAGTAACGCAAAGATCCTTTGTCTTGAGAATTTCAGTGTCAATAGGGTTAGTGGCATCCACAGGAATGCTGATCTTGTCATCCACGCTCTTCCAGACCAATTGGTTCCCATCAGCATTGTCCTCGGGCGCATCTAGAATTAAGACGTCTCGATCAACGATTTCGACCTCGCGAGCAACATGGACGGCAGTCAAGGGGTTATCTCCCGTAATCATGACGACGCGGTGGCTACTCTCGTTCAGCATCTGGACAGCCTCCTTAGCGTCTTCTTTTAACGGGCAGTGCAGAACAAGGAAACCAGCGAAGGCGAGGTCGGCCTCCACCTTTTCACGCTTCAAGGCGTTAATTTTGCCGGAACCAAGCTCAGAATCGACAGTGAGCTGTTTGTAGGCCAAAGCTAGAACGCGAGATCCCTTGCGAGTGAAGTATTTGAAGGTTTCCTCGTAGTCGGCGGGCACGTTCACCAGCATCTTCATGATAGTCTCAGGAGCACCCTTGACACCAACAAAAGTACCCTTCACCTTTTTGCCGGTTTTGGAGACCCCATTCACCGTGGCAACCGAACTCTGACGTTTGAGAGCCGAGGAAAATTGGAAGCGACGCTTGATCTGCACGGTTCCCTGCGTACCACTGTTCTTGTTCTTGCTAGCCAAAACGTCATTACGACCGAGACCCCAGCCGAGAGACGTCAAGGTAGCCTTCTCCATGGGATCGCCAACAATGTCGCCCTCATCGAGCTTGACGAGAGCATGGGCGGTGGCGAGAACTAGCTGAGTCTCAATACCGGCCTCAGTCACGCGCACCATGGTGGAGTGAGCTCCGTCAGCTTCCTTTTTGTCCACAATACCTGAGTCCGCCAGGCCGAGTCCAGCAATGCCTTCGACAACCAGATCTTCGCCAGTAAGGGTACCGGTCTTGTCGAAGCAAGCAATGTCGATACGGCCACCACAAGGAATGCGGAAAGGCTCGGTGCAGAAAATCGCCAACTTGGAAAGTGCTGCAAGACTAGTATTGACAGCAAGACTGAGCTCCATGGGCAACTCCGGGGGAACGACGCTAGTAACAATCAAGATGCAGTCAAGCAGAAGCTTGGATCGTTTGCGGTCCTTGCGAACACCTTCGTCCCAAACATACCAAGAGGCGGCGATTGCGAAAATTAGGAGAAACAAGATGAACAGGAGTGCCTCAAAGTTATTGGCTGAAACACGCTCGGTGGAATAAATCATGGTGCGAACAAGACTGCCCTGTGAGGTCTCGAAGCCGGTTTTGGTGACAATAGCCATGGCGCCGTTGTCAGGAGGCGTTGGGATATGAGACGATAGTTTTGGCCTCTCTTGCTCGGGGTTGCCGTGCGTAACCTGAAGAACCTTGGTGCCTCCCCATAGGAAAGCGTTCTTGTCTAGTCCTTCTGGGTCCAGCACAGCGTCAGACGGACGCAGCTGGATAGAGTCCTTAAGAAGAGGAGTGCTTTCTCCTGAAAGCATGGCTTCGTTGACGATTGCCGTTCCCTCAACCAAAAGCATATCACAAGCCACACCACTGTCTTCCTTGGTTCGATCGACGGAGACGAGATCACCGGGCAAAAGAGCGTCTGTCTGAACCTCGGTCCATTTCTCAAGACGGAATACCCAGATGTCGTAGGGTTTGATGCTCATACCACGGAACTCGTTGAGAGTGCGCTGACGCTGCCAAACGACGGTACTTTCGAAAGCGACAAGCATGAACAGAGTGAAAAGCGAATAGTACCAGTATTCGTCGAGCAACCAAAGACCGACGCAGAAGATCTGGAAAACGAAGAATGGAGCAACGGCGTGCTCTTTGAAGAGCTCGGTAAAGGTGGGAACGGGAATGTCGAAGGTGTTGGTACCGTAATGCTGTTCAACTCGGGTGAGTTCGGACTGCTTTTCGAGACCCCGGAAGGATTGGAAGTGGCCGATGGTGGGCTTCGGCTCAGAGTCGATGTCATATCGGAGCGTAGAGAAGGATTTTGTTTCGGGGTTGTAGAGGAAGCGGCGCTTCTGAAATAGGAACGAGATGTTGAGCTTGCCACCAACCTATCACGATACATCGATGTCAGACAGTTGCCAAGAGGGGCTAAGACTTGACAAGAAGTTGGAAAAGACGGCGGACTGGACAGACCTTGTCGCGGACAAGCTTGCAAATCTCACCAGAGCCTGCGTTGGCCATGGGCAAAACCTTGATTAGTTGGGCGTCTTCAACCGTATCGACCTTGGTAGCCTTGAAGCGAGCCTCCAAGGAAACGCTCCAGTGCGTGCTGAGCCAGACTAGCGACTGCAGAGTGATGATGGTGCCACACCAAACAAACGTCCATTCTGGCGCGCCAATGTATTTCTCGTACAGATCAGGCGTCAGGTAGTATCGTAAGAAGATGGGCCAGATGATGGCAAAGGGCCAGACGTAGGCGTGCAAGTAAAATGACAGCGGTCGCAGCAGCTCGGCCTGCTGGATCTGGGAGTTGTCGATCAGCGGCGGCATGATGAAGGTATCAACGACGTGGATGCGTCGCAATGTCGGACGATCCGGGGAGGAGGGGAGGAGGAGAGGATATCCGGACCCAATTAGACCCAAGACGGGGGATGATGAATTAAGAAAGTGAAGAAAGAATTCCCAAGGTAGCAGTAGCCAAAATAGAAGAACGGGGGGGAGGAAATGGAGGAGGATGGAAGAAGTGATCGCGATGGGTCAAGTACTCCGTGCATAATTTTTTCCCTCCTCGCGCGGCGTGGCGTCAACCGGTCTGGTGCTTGCACAGCTGGTGGAAGCGCTGGGGTCTGGTCTAGTCCAGCATCAGTCAAGACTTCGGGGGACCTTCAGGGCCTTCGGGGCCCCTGCGGTGCTTTCTTTGCAGCATGGGCGCCGAGTGTGGAGAGCCGACCAATGGCAAGCGCGGTACGGATTGAGACGACCCAGCCGTGTCTTCAGTCGAGCTCAAACAGACCACGATCCGGAGTACGCCCCAAGCAGCTAACCAGAGTCTCTATTCACCGCCGATATCGTTTAGCTGCACGACGTCTTCTGGAATACGAATTACGGACAGCAAAATACATTCTACATGCTCGTCTCATATTTGCTGCGTCTTCTGATTCGCTCTCCAAGCACCCAGAAACCCCATGGAATCGGAGCCATGGCCACGGTAACAAAGCCCAGCACGCTTGTTGCCCAGCCCACGCCGAGAGCCTTGTACATTTGCAAAGCAAACAAGGGGAACGCAGCACTCAGCAGATACCGACTCATCATCATGGCACCAGAAGCCGACGCCGCGTACATTGGACCGTAGGCATCGAGCATAAACATGGTGGCGCTGGCATAAATCAGCAGGGAGCTCAGCATCACACAGCCTTGGAAGATGATGGGCACTGTCCAATGAACCTCGTACTGAGCCGTCCACGCCGATATGAACAAGCCCGCCGGTAGAAGGAGGCTTCCAATCATTGCGCCAATGAGCCGGTGCTCCGAGGGCAGGGGTTCCTCCACGCCATCGTCGTTGGGAGGATGACTTTGCCGCCAATGATTCAAGCGCTTCTGGTAGTACTTCGCGTCAATGAAAACCAGAGGCCCCGACGCAGCCAGCGCACCAATCATCAAACCCAAGTACGATAGCGATTCACCCGTTTTGCTGAATCCGTACCCTTCCCGGAAGATCCAAGGCACAGCAATGACGAATGTGTACAACAATCCGTACAGGAAGCCGTTGTACAAACTAATCAGCGTAACAATGGGCTCCGTGAACAGCATGTGCAGCGGCCGCTGAATCAGCACCGTAGCAAAGTATCGAAACGCTCGACCAGGCGACGTCCTTTGCGAAGAAGTGTCCAGTCCGAGGCGGATGGCACGTCTTCTCAAAATAACCTTCTTGTACGTCTCTGGCGCAAAACACATGGGGATGTAAAAGCCAACGGCCATGAAGACGGCCGTCCATTGAGTCCATTGCCACTCGCCAGCTTGGACGATGAACCCGCCCAATAACGGACCTAAAGCGGCTCCAAAGGACGGCATGGTGTAGTATATGCTCAGACTTACACCACGTAGTTTTCCGGATGCAGAGTCTAGAATCGTGGCCGGTGCATTGTTAATGAGCGAAGACGAGGACATGCCCGCAAAGAAGCGGCAAGCTATCAGACCAGTCAACGTCGCGCTGAATCCTGATCCGAACATGAAGGCAGCAAAGATGGGGCCGGTCACAAGAAACACTGCCTTCCGGCCATATGTCTCAGACAACGGAGCGCCGACCAAGGGGCCGAACGCCAGACCGAGATTGTACATGGACAGCGGGAGAACGGCCGTTTCCTGGCTGCAGTTGAGTTTGGATGCCACGTCGCCCTGGGCCGGTGCATACATGGCTCCGGCGACGGTGGCAACGGTTGCGAGGCCCGTGACAGAAAAGGCACTGAGGAGGCGGACGAACAGTGGGAAATTGCGTGGGTTGTCCGGGTCGTCGGGGCCGGTCCAGTCGTACGCCGCGTTCATGGTTCGAATGGACCGGCGGACTCGGATGCTGGTGTATGGCCCATCTCCGGCTTCAACTGGGATGTTTTCCGGTTGCGAGGGCTGTGTTTGTTCCCGAGTTTCTCCTGTACTCCTGGACGGCCGTGCTTGAAGAGGTACTCGTGTCATTTCAGATCGCAGTCTCTTCTGCTGGTGAACTGCGGGTTGCTTCTTCCCAGGTGTTATAAGCACGGCCGTCGTTGAGTTTCTGAGCAACTCCCCGCGGACGGAGAAATGCCATGGACGCCGGAGTGGAATCGGCCGAGCCGTGGCGCGGTGAGCGTCCGAGCTTTCATTTGGGACGGCCGGACGTCAGCCGGATGGCGTTGGTCTCCCAGGTTTCCTCATTTTTTCTGCTATACGTGGGCAAGTTGAGAGCTAGCGGAGAAACTCGCGTTCTGTTGGGCATAACTTGATTGGTTGACCCGTTGAGGAACTAACCGTCGTCAGGTTCGTGTCCACGGGACAACCAACACTACGCGTCAACCGGCGATGACTGTGTTGCGATGTCGGTGGCAAGGCCAGGGACACACTTTCAAGGGTCACGCCTCACGCTGGGCCTGCAGCGACAACTCGTTCCAATCGTGTTGCTGATGACTCGCCTCTTCGGTTTCTCAAGGTTTCGGTTCCTGGGGGAGGTCCCTGCCGCCTCATGCTGCGGAACTTTGACAACATTTACATTGGTGAAATATTAAGCCATCGAGTCCGAGGATTGAAAGCCCTTCACGTCAACTAGTTGTCGAGAAAACCACCTGTCACGACGGGTAGGCTTCCTCCGCATTAGGACACTACATTGCAATCCTCAACCGACAAGTCGATGTGTGCCTCCTCTCAGTTGACCTGACAGCGTTGTTCCTTGTTGTTGAAGAGCCTTTTTGGCCACGACATCTTACGACCTCTGCGGGGACCGAATGTTTGGGCAGCACATATATGTTGTATACACGGTCTCGTCTGCAGCTTGCCCAAATCAGTGTCCACGCCGGCTACTCAGCCAGCACTCTCACACCACGTCCTGGCCCGACAAGAAGGCAGCTTTTGATGCCGGCTAGGTCGGGTGTGAATACTAGCATGCACTGCACAGTGTTCGAATTGGCCACGTCCTATACGAATGACGGCTATGTCGAAAGACCATGTACAGTTCTACACCGCAAAGCCTCCCGAGTTCTTCTGTCTCGGCTCTCCACACGCCTCAAATGTTCCGTTGGGCAACAGCCGCAATCCTTGTGCAGCACTCTGTCCAGGCGCTACCCAGGTGACGTTGTAGCCTAGAGACTTCATGTGTTCTACTGTTCCGTTGTTGTACGTGTATTCAAAACTCACCCGGCTTGGGACAAGCTGATCGTGGAGTCTTGGCTCCCTCAAGGCATCTGATATCGTCATGTTGCCATCCATCAGGTGGATTGCGTTCTGAATATTCGCAGTGATGATGCGACTTCCTCCCGCCGCCCCGATGGAGAAGAACAGCCTGCCGTCTGCAGTCTCACAAATGATGGGGGAAATGGATGATAGCGGCCGCTTTCCGGGTCGGACAAAGTTTGCAGGGCTCGGGACGTATCCGAAGGCGTTGCTCTCCCCGGGAATGCTAAAGTCGTTCATTTCGTTGTTCATGACGACGCCGGTTTCGGGGACCATGAGATTCGATCCGAAGAGCAGGTTGACTGTTGTGGTCATTGACACGGACATGCCCCTGGCGTCTGCAGCCACAATGTGGGATGTTCCTGGGGTCTCCAGAGACTCGAGGCCTTCGGGGTCGTAGTAGGACACGTGGAATGTCTTCTGGTCGACTATCTTGGAGCGAACTTCGTCACCCGTCTTGGAGGAAATCATGTTCTCGGTGTACTTTTCCAGGCCGGGGACGAAAGATGGATCACCAAGCTTGGTACGCTGTCCGTATGCGAACTTGGTCGCCTCATCCATGAGATGCGTCGACAGATTCGATCGACTTGGGTCCGGGAAATCATTGTAGCCACTCAATATGTTCAAGGCACTAAGAGCCACAACGCCGCTCGAGGGAGCATTCGTGCTGGTGAGTCTGTATCCTCGGTACGTTAGATGAACTGGTTCTCGAAGGGCGACGGTGTAATTTCTGAGGTCCTCCAAGGTCATGGTTCCGTTGGCTGCCCTCAAGGCCCGGATTGTCGCCTTTGCGATGGAACCAGTGTAGAAAGCATCGGCGCCTTCGTTTGCAATGGTCTCGAGCGTGTCTGCGTACCGCTTCCGCGTCATGGTTTCCCCGAGGCGTACTCGACATCCTCGAGGGGCAAAGTCCATGGCCCAAGACGGGTCCTCTGTGAGAAATGCATTTGGAGACGTCGAGTCCATGTACCGGACCAAATCTTGGCTCACGGGGAACCCGAAACGCGCAAGCTTGATGGAAGGTGCCAAAACATCAACCCATTTCAGAGCGCCGTATCTCTTGTGAATATATTCCGTGCCTCTCAACTCGCCAGGAACGCCGCTGAGGACAAGGTCAGACGAACAACCTCTCCTGTGTGGCCGCAGCAAAGGGGTGCGCCGAAGAACAAACCTACCTGGCCAGACCACCGAAAATGCTTGCGTTTACGTTTCCCTTGAACATGTTCTCAGACGCCGCGGCCGGGGCAGTTTCACGGAAGTCGACAAACTCATAGGTCCTGTTTGGCAATCTCAGGAGCAAAAAGCCGCCGCCACCGATTCCGCTGTGGTACACGCTCGTCACGCCTACACAAAACACTGTGCCGACGAGAGCGTCGACTGCATTGCCGCCGTCTTCCAGCAAGCGCGTACCAATCCTACTACATATGCTGTTTTCCGACGCGACGGCTCCGAGCTTGGGGCCATCATGGCTGCAGCATTGCGATTGCGTCTGGCTGTTGACGACCGGGGATACAGCAGCGGTTGTTAGAAGCAGTCGCAGGATGACCTTGACGTGGTGTAGAAACATCTTAGGGTTAGGGTCTAGATGATTCGCCGATGACGTGTTTCAAGGGGTGGGGTGGGCGTTGGCCGACATTGTCGAGAGGTCATGAAGACGCAACGGTCGAGGAGACTATTTGCTTTTATGCATCGTCCCATTGCACTGTTCGTGCTACCACAATGCCGGCTCAATATGACAACTCATCTGCTGCAATCAGCCTTTAACCAGGGCCGGTCCCCAGTCGATCCTCGGCGTACGGACTACTCCGTAACTGGTTACCCTATTAGGCAAGTCTGCACCCAGGATGTGAAGTTGACTCGAGTCACTTGACTCAAGTTCCCAGCAACCAGGGGTGGGTGGAGAGGGCGAAGCGTACGAAGCTGTGCGGGGAACCACGGCCTGCTTTTCTGCATCTAACCAGCAACCAGTGTTGGTGAGTAGGACCACGTGTCTGACGTAATGGAAAAGCAGCAACGATAGGACGGTAAATGGATGGTAAATGGCGCGAGTCGGAGTAACGAGCCGGGCAGGACGTTGAACAACATCAATGGATGGCCGGCAGTCGGGCCATCTTGGCATCGCAAGTTGGAGCAAGACGAGGGAGGAAGTTACTCTCGGGGCCAGACAAGTCAGTCAGTACATTGTATAATCCGTCACAAAAGTGGCTGAAGCCACCTCGACGGAGTAGGCCAACAGAGATAACATGTCCAGGACGAACTCTCGGCCAGCAAGCCTTCACCTTTCGGAGTCCCCGGGAGCGCGGAAGTACTCGAGCATGGTTCATTGTACTAGACGGACGACAAACCCCGCAAACTCTCATTTTGGTCGCCAGCGTTGCAGATCTGGGACCATCTTTGTGCGTGTGCCAATTATTAGTGCTTGCACTTGGTGGTTAGGCAATCCGAGAACACGCGACCGGATCGACACTTGCCAGGGCAATATTTAGAGAAGAACCGAGACTCCTCCCTGACAGGAAATCTTGATCCGTACAACTTGGGCCGCTGCCTGTATGGTGTGTCGACGATGCTTCGGTTGTCTCCGTCTCCGTCTCTCCCTCTCTCTCTCGACGCAGGCCAAAACAGCCAGGAGAAACATCAAGAGTCAGCAGTAACAAGGAAACTCGAGTGAACAGGGATAATAGATAACAGCGCTTGAGGGTTTGGCGCCTCGTCCGTACTCCGCCAGTTCATACCACTAGTATGCATCTTTACGTGCAAGCTGTTCCAGACCGCCGTTTGGTCGCAGAGATGACGAGCCCAGAGCCCAGAGCCCTCCACAGTTTGCTGTTTGCTCCCGCGTTCCGTGACTCTGTTTTGGAAACGAAGTCAATGAATTCCTAGGGCCGCCCGACGCGTCGTAGTTGCGCCCATGGAAGCGGCCAAGGGGCCGATTGCCCGATCCAAACCACAACCGCAACCATGGCCCGGCACAGCAAAGCAAGAGGCTCAGGCACGAAGCACGAAGCTCGAAGCCTGACCACGACTGAATCGACCCGTGGTGCTTACCGGAGTACTCGGTAAGCCCTTGGTACGGTTCCGGAATTGGATGAGTTACCCAGAGACTGCGCCGTTGTTAACCCTAGTTTGTCACCTCATACACGGAGACCCTTGAGGAACGACGAATGAAGAGACAACTCATTCTAGAAGAATTCATGGCAAACCACGCAAAGTCTCTCAAGGAAATGTATTATTACAGTATGCTGTACTACTCTTTACTGAGGGAACAGCCGGCCTGTTCGACTAATCTGGGTGCTTAGAACATGAAGAAGAAACCTGTCAAGGCCACCAGAAGTGATGCAGCAGTCGCTGTTGAGCTGCTCGATGGTGCTCCAGCCGTGACGACGGGAGGGTTTGAAGTCGAGTCCCCATCTGTTGAACCGGAGCCGGAGCCAGAGGAAGAGCCGGAAGAGCCGGAAGAAGGACCGAAAGTGCCAGAAGAAGAGCCGGAAGTGCCAGAAGAAGAGCCAGAAGTGCCAGAAGAAGAGCCAGAGCCGGAGCCAGAGCCAGAGCCAGAGCCAGAGCCAGAGCCAGAAGAAGAAACAGAAGAGCCTGAGCCAGAAGAGCCTGAAGAACCACCAGAAGGGGAGCCCGGACCCGTGAATGAGCCAGAAGAATCACCTCCGGACTGACCATGGCCAGTTCCAGGCTCGCTGCTGTTGCTTCCATCAGTATGAATGTGTCCTCCACTGTTTTCCCCTTCCCTCCCGCTTCCATGTTCGCTGCTGTTGCTTCCATCAGTATAAATGTGTCCTCCACTGTTTTCCCCTTCCCTCCCGCTTCCAGGCTCGCTGCTGTTGCTTCCATCAGTATGAATGTGTCCTCCACCGTTTTCCCCTTCCTTCCCGCTTCCATGTTCACTTGCAGCTTCATTGCTCCCGTGACCTAGACCGCTTGAGAGTCCCTTGTCTCCGGAGCCGCTTCCATGGATATTTTCCGAGGCAGTTCCCATAACTTGCCCAGATCCAATGCCATTGGCAGCTTCTTTGCCGTTGTCGGCCACAGTAACAGAGTCGTCAGACCCCGGAGCCGTGCTGTTGTCCGTGCTGGCTCCATTGCCGTATTCATTGCCAGAGCCGTTAATGCCACCACGGTCCTCAGAACCAGAACCTACGCCGGGCTGAAAGCCGTTTCCGGCTTCGTGACCCTTGTCGCTGTCAACACGATTTCCCGTGCCCAGGTTTGAACCCGAAGCATCGCCGGATTCCTCGCCAGCGGAGGATCCGGAGCCGGAGCCGGGCTTTGAGCTGTTGCCGGAGCCGATCTCAATGTCAACCCCATTACCGGGAGCTGAGTTCGAACCGGGGCCACTGGCAGATTCACTTCCAGGGCCATTAGTAGACTCAGAGCCGGTGCCGCTGCTGGCTCCATGACTATGTCCTGGGCCAGAACCCAAGTCGCCAGTAGATACATTGCCAGCGCCGGATTCAGGGTTATTGCCAGGCCCAGAGACGTCGCCACTTCCAGAGCCATGGGAGGGCAAAGAGTTCTCATTCGTTCCAGGGGCAGTGCCAGTACCGGCATCGCTACCAGAACTCGAGTTGGCACCTCCGCCGCTGGAGGCAGATGCAGAGCCGCTGCCGATGCCAACTTCATTGCTGGGCGCCAAGTTCGAACCCGAACCGCCCATGGAGATTTCCTGGCCGCCTTCACATTCGTCACCTCCGAGATCCCCATTCTCACCTTGGCTGCCATGGCCGCCGCCAGATTCTGAAGAAATGGGCGCTCCGGCCTGGCCTTTATCGCCATTGCCGTAATGTCCAGCGCCCCCTGGGCTCTCAGTAGTCGGTTTGGCGGTGCTAAGTAGGGGCCAAGTACCTGTGGCAGCCGTCACTGTTGATGTAATCTCTGGAAGAGACTTGGTGATTGTGGAAGAGCAGTCTTCATCTGGTGAATCGGCCAAGACGGCAGCGCTCAAAAAGAGAGGCAGGGCTGCCACAATACCGGTTCCGCAACGCATGGTGGTAGGGAAAAAGAAGTCAGTCACAAGGTGAAGAAGTCGACCAAGTCAGCCGTGGGGAAAAGATGGAAGAGATGAAGAACAATGAAAGAGGTTGGCGAGCGTCAGCCTTGAAGTTGAACGCGCTTTGCTCTTGTCCATGACCACGGACATTTAGTTTGCTTTATAATATTGATCTTTTCCGAGAGCAGAGGAGGTGATTCGTTCGACACGGCCTTTTCGACGCTGACGACATTTGGGTTGCCGGAATGGGCATGAACGAGAACAGAGTTCGCATCCGTGCCATGTTGTCGTATGATTCTTGGACAGTAGCCGCGATGCCAAGGCTTGGCCTGGACCGTTGCGCGCAGCTCGTCTTCTGAGTTCGTTGCCTGCTCGCAGGAAGACAAAGTGTCGTTCACGTCAAAAACAGAGAAGAACGCGCTGCGCTGGCAGAATGCTGTTTCCATTTTTAGCCGGCCATGTAGGAATGGTCCAAGTAGAGGCAGAATGGGAACCAATAAAACGTCTCGGCTCTGAATTAAAACCGCAATTCCCATGTAAAAACCTTGATACCCCTGTAGCTTGGGCCCACGGAGCTTTCGTCAATGTTATTGAACTTATGACTCGCGGGCTCCGTAGTGACAGATCGGTCCTGAGCTTTGTCCTCGCTCGGTAGCCTGGTCCTGGGAGCATTCCCGGAAGGTAACGGCTTATGAACGGCGGCAATGCTGTACAAGTAGTAAGATTCGTGCATTGTTGCGGTCGACGAGGACGCATCGGGAAGGGGGGCGGATGGAGGAGGCGGAGAATCGTAGACTCTTGGCGTGCTCATGATGAGCGTTAGTCTGGAGCAAACCAGACATTGAAGCTTGACTTCTCCGATTCCGTTCGAAATTGGCTTGTGGCTTTGAAAAGAATGCGTCGGATAGCGCGAGATTGTCTGGTATTTACTCCGCATCATGGAGTCTTGGGATCTGAGGGCGTCTGAGTGATGCAGGGAAACTTGGGTTTGTCGAAATGTTTTGTAAATCAGCACGCCACGTACATAAAGCATCTATCCCCGAAGATGAAGGGAACTACCAAGCCAGAGATTCTCTCGACAGTTCCAACGGAGTTTGTTGAGTGTCCTTCGTTTGATCACGCTGCCAGAGTTCGTGGAATCGCCGTCGATTAGCCTCTTGACAACCAAAACACCTTTGCCATGACAGTGGTATACCCTCATCTCTGGGCAGCATCGGTCCTTGCCTGGCATTTGGGCACTGCCCTTGCCGGCCCTGTGCCTCAGCCGGACTCTTGTCCCGGTGGCGTGCGCACCTTGGTGACACAACATAGTCAGATCCGGACTGTCACTCCGGTTCTCGTCTCGACACACTGTCCGTATGATATGGACATTGTCATTGACCATGCCAATACCATCCGTTGTTCAAACGCGCCCACCGACATCTCCACGGTCATCACAATCACCAATACCGACAGCCCTGCCGTGACGAGGTATGTAGTCATTCACATCGGATCGAGGCCACCGCACACGTTGTTGACTAACTCGGCACATCAGGCCAGAGAAGGGCCCAACCGCGATGCCCACGGAGACGGGGAAGCCCCTTCCATCTAATACAGGGTCTGTCGGGGCAGGATCCGGTGGCGCTCCTGGACAAAGCTCTCTTGTCGATGGCATCGACAATGGCTTTAGCAAGCCGGCTGGTTCTGCAACAAGCGGCTCTGGTGACAGGCCTACTGATACTGACGGCTCCAATACTGACGGACCGAGCACCCCCTCGGATGCTTATGCCAGCTCAGTGCCATCCAAACCGGAAGGAAATTCTTCTGGCCACCCCAATACATCCACCTCTGCTTCGGAACTCCCTTCTGCAACCAGTTCTCTTGGTGCCTCAAGTTCTGAGCCCACGGACTCTGGATCTGCCCCCCCCGTAGTAGGGCAGAGCTCGACAGTACAAGGTCCCGAGCCAACAAGCTCTGATGCAGTAACGTCCCAGACAGAGACAAGACCAACGGAAACCTCGCAGACGCCAGCCTCGCAGGCAACAACATCCCAGACGGAATCATCGCAGACAGAAGCCGCCGGCGATACCGCAACAGGTTCGTCTGCGTCATCATCGCAGACGCCAGCCTCGCAGGCAACAACATCCCAGACGGAACCATCGCAAACAGAAGCCGCCGGCGATACCGCAACAGGTTCGTCTGCGTCATCATCGCAGACGCCAGCCTCGCAGGCCTCGACATCCCAGACGGAAACCTCGCAGACGCCACCCTCGCAGGCCTCAACATCCCAAGCGGAAACATCGCAGACAGAAGCCGCCAGCGATACCGCAACAGGTTCGTCTTCGCCATCACCGGCCACCCCTTCATCAGCGTCGACAACTACCTCAACGCCATCCACCACCTTGACCACCAGCACTCAGACCTCTTCTTCCACCTGTACACCAGCAGCGCCTACCAAGGTCTGCGCTCCAGGACTTCCTCAAGCCTGTAAAGACTTGACCAGCTTGAGCGGCATCAAACTCGACATTGTTTCGGATGCCGTGGGATGTACCTCGGCACTCGGTGCCTTTTCCAAAGACTTTGCTCACTGTTTCGTCGTGGACCCATTGGGCTTAGTTTCTCTCTCTCCGTGGAACAAGGTTGTCAGCTGCTTGGAAGATGCAATGGGAAGCGTCTGTCTTCCTCAGCTGCCCGATGCTTGTGCGAACCTTGCGGGCTTAAGCGATGTTGCGAATTTGGCCACCAATGTAGCAGATTGCTCCTTTCAGCTAGGACCATTCGTGGCCGGGAACACACTCAACTGCCTGCAGGGCGGTCTCGTCAACGGGGACGAAATCCTCGCCTGCTTGAGCGGTACCCTTGGCTTTGGCTTGTCGGATTGCGAACCTGCTGCGCCGGCATGCGTATCAGCCTTGCCTCCAGATTGCAATCTGCTCAGCAACTTCAACGGATTCGACTTGCCCTCGAAATTGCAAGGCTGCGTCGCAAGCATTGGTTCAGGGGCTGCTGATATTGCCAGCAAGTGCCTCAGCCTTTCTTCCATCCTGTCGACCACCATGGGCAGCAGCATCACGGACTGTCTCCTCGATGTGCTCAAGGGCGTGTGCATGCCGACTCTTCCAGACGCGTGCCTGAGCCTCATCAGCCTCAACGTTGGTCAACTGACGACGCAACTGCCGCAGTGCATCGCTGCCTTGGGGCCGTTTAACAGCGGGGGCGTGCTGAACTGCTTCACCAACCCGACTTCGGGCCCGGGGATCGTGCTTTGTCTGAACAAGGAGATTTTCGGCTTGCCGGCTCTTGGAAGCTTGGCAGGACTTGTCGGCTTGCCAAGTCTTGGTGGCTTGCCGGTGCCGGGTCTTGGTGGCTTGCCGAGTCTTGGTGGCGTGTCGAGCCTTGTTGGCGTGCCGAGTCTCGGTATTTTACCGTAAGCAGGGCATGGAATTGCCGTAAAGAGATGGCCGTCGACTATACCTGCCGTAGATGGAAGCGTCTGGTGTTTTGTTTGACGGGCATGGACTCGCTCGTTGCCCTCTCCATAGGAAGCTTGTTGATATAGATCGAGATGAATGAAATAAAAGACGAGAGCAACTCCGCCAGACGCCTCTACGCTGCTCGCATGCTCGTTGTCGCATCCGAGATGGCCGCCAGCTTGTTTGATCCTCGGCAGCCGTCCAACGATGGCTTCATCTGCAAGCCATCGGGCCCCCGAATCAATCGGGACTGGGCAGCCGTCTACAGGAGCCCACTTGAATGCCACTGTGGCCATGTCGCCGCACTTGTTTCTGTCGTCTGCCGCTCCCTCGATCCGACCATTCCTGGAATCCTACAGCTCGGTCGGCTTGGCGGGGGGGGG